AAGATTTTGAAAGTAACATAGATCGATACCGCGTTTTTAAAAATCTATTTGATATCAGCATATGAAAATATATTTGAGTATATTATTTTTCAAAGTGTCAGAAATGGATAACAAAACTGCTATTTTCAATGACTACTTATTTTTGTCCAGCTTTAACATCTGTATCGATATCGGTTATCGGCTACATGAGTTTTAAAATATCGGATATCGGCCAAAATCCCAATATCGTGCATCCCTATGATTAATACAAATATAATTTCAAAATTTGATTAACAAATTGTTTTCCCTACTATGGTACGGTTAACAGAAAGGATTTTGAAGGAAAAATGTCCCAAAATGTTTAAAGAAAAAACAGAACTCACCATTGTTTAGACTTCGCTTCTTCAAACTCTTGAATGATGTCACTTCATGTTAGTGTTGTCACTTCTAGGAAGTGTATTGCATTTTGGCACAAAATAACTTTGGTGTGACGGGGATGGAATATGAAATTGATGGACATAGAAAAATGATGCTATTTCAATAAAAAAATATGACATTTTAATATAATTGACACATTTCCTATTAAGAGGAAAGTATTTCAAACCATAACAACAAAACATCTTTGAGATTTATTTCATATTTCTTAAGTTTAACATTACACGAATGAGAAAAACGCTCAGAGCGGACATGAGAAAATGATTGCAGTTTAACATAAAAAGTTATAAATGTGCAAAATATATATTTATGATTCAATTTTATTTGACCTCATGCTACCAAGTAAACTTGAATCAATGGCTTTAGACACTTAAAGTATTACTGACAGTTTTATTATGCTTCCTGTTCCTCTTTGAATGTTATGGACCCAAACTTAACAGTTTTCATGGAATGACCCATGTACAAATAAAAAACAATTTCAGGTCAGATCACCATACGCTTAAAAAAACACCCAAAAGTATGTAATTGAATAGTTTTTTCTTACATGACCAAAGGGTTGAGGTATGTTAAAGTGTATTTTTCATACAAACCTAAAGGGATTAACTAAAGGGATAAACGGGCATTGACTCTGGGTATGCTCATCTGACAGAACACCTGCCCTGCTCTTAAAGATGTATTTTAAAAGGCTGGGACTGTAGTTGCACCGATTTCCTTTCCTTTAGACCTTCCAGCTTTTTACCTGATTCATCTCCGCACAACAAAATCATCTGAGGGAAGAAGAAGAAACTGCAAACAGCTTCTTTTTTAATTAGGTTTCAGTCTGACACAGAGATTTAAATCAAAACAGCTCAGTTCAAGCATGGGAGATAAAGATTGTTTGGAAGCATTTCTGATTGGGGTACAAGCAGAAACTTCCATGAGGCAGAAAAAGATGAAGATAAAAAATAAAACGCACACAAAGAAGGGGATGATGAGATTGCATTCACAACACGGCTTTACCCATGAAGCTTTGTTCAAACAATCTGCATACCTCTGTGAGTTATTATGATCTGAAACTCATGCTCAGTCTGTGGCTCTGGTAACATCGCTTGACACGCTGACAGCAGTGATTAGCATCATTGTCACTTCATATTCTTTTCTCGTGTTGAGTCAGCTGCTTTGAGGGAACTTTGAGAGCTTTCAAAACCAACAGCAGCTCAGAATACGGACTAATTGGTGAACAGATCTATAGAGGCTCTCTAATTGATCTGTTTTCCTCATGTTAGCAGGTCAACATTCAACTTGAACTTGCTTGTGTCCTCACCAGAGTTAAAATATTTCTTTAGTCTGATAGCACTGATCCAGATGCTAACGATCATTTATACTGATTAGTGTTGCACCGATACTGATACCAGCATCGGGCGCGGCCCCGATTCCAGCACTAAAATGGTGGTATCGGTATCGGCGAGTACTAACCAATAGGGCACTGATACCATTTTGATAGCCAAAGGTTTATTCACAGGGTTCCTACAGCATAAGGCAAGTTAAATTCAAGACTTTTTAAGACTTTTTAATGCCACTTGAAATAAAAATTTAAGACCAAATTCACAAGAAACACAAGAAAAAAAACCCACTTGCGACAAGTGGGTTTATTTTAACATAAACCACTGCACTAATGTTTCAAATTTTGAAAAGCTTCCCATACAGGAAGAAAACTAAAAACACACAAATGACAGATATATTTTAACAATTATTTAACTGAATTCGCAAACTTTGTTTTAGCAGGGAACAAAACAAATCAGTTTTAAAGCCACAACATAACCAGTGCTAAGTCTTTTTTGCAGCTATTTTTCTTTGTATCGTTTTCTTAGTATGTTTGATTTGGTGATAAGTGGAGGCGTTGCAGAGACAAGGGTGGAACTAAACTGAGAAATATCGGCTGTTTCTCTGTAACTCCATTTTGACGCTTTGTGTTTCGTGCTTCGCATGTGCGACTCCACTGCCTTAATTCCCATCGTTCCGAGCTTTAATAACTTCTTGCACAAAATCCACCTCATGTACACTCACCGGCCACTTTATTAGGTACCCCATGCTAGTAACGGGTTGGACCCCCTTTTGCCTTCAGAACTGCCTCAATTCTTCGTGGCATAGATTCAACAAGGTGCTGGAAGCCTTCCTCAGGGAGTTTGGTCCATATTGACATGATGGCATCACACAGTTGCCGCAGATTTGTTGGCTGCACATCCATGATGCGAATCTCCCGTTCCACCACATCCCAAAGATGCTCTATTGGATTGAGATCTGGTGACTGTGGAGGCCATTTGAGTACAGTGAACTCATTGTCATGTTCAAGAAACCAGTCTGAGAGGATTCCAGCTTTATGACATGGCGCATTATCCTGCTGAAAGTAGCCATCAGAAGTTGGGTACATTGTGGTCATAAAGGGATGGACATGGTCAGCAACAATACTCAGGTAGGCTGTGGCGTTGCAACGATGCTCAATTGGTACCAAGGGGCCCAAAGAGTGCCAAGAAAATATTCCCCACACCATGACACCACCACCACCAGCCTGAACCGTTGATACAAGGCAGGATGGATCCATGCTTTCATGTTGTAGACGCCAAATTCTGACCCTACCATCCGAATGTCGCAGCAGAAATCGAAACTCATCTCACCAGGCAACGTTTTTCCAATCTTCTATTGTCCAATTTCGATGAGCTTGTGCAAATTGTAGCCTCAGTTTCTTGTTCTTAGCTGAAAGGAGTGGCACCCGGTGTGGTCTTCTGCTGCTGTAGCCCATCTGCCTCAAAGTTCGACGTACTGTGCGTTCAGAGATGCTCTTCTGCCCACCTTGGTTGTAACGGGTGGTTATATGAGTCACTGTTGCCCTTCTATCAGCTCGAACCAGTCTGGCCATTCTCCTCTGACCTCTGGCATCAACAAGGCATTTCCGCCCACAGAACTGCCGCTCACTGGATGTTTTTTCTTTTTCGGACCATTCTCTGTAAAACCTAGAGATGGTTGTGCGTGAAAATCCCAGTAGATCAGCAGTTTCTGAAATACTCAGACCAGCCCTTCTGGCACCAACAATCATGCCACGTTCAAAGTCACTCAAATCACCTTTCTTCCCCATACTGATGCTCGCTCTGAACTGCAGGAGATTGTCTTGACCATGTCTACATGCATAAATGCACTGAGTTGCCGCCATGTGATTGGCTGCTTAGAGATTAAGTGTTAACCAGCAGTTGGACGGGTGTACCTAATAAAGTGGCCGGTGAGTGTATGTTCCCTGGTTTTAGCCATGGAGAAAACTCTTAGCTGGATAACCAATTTTTGTTACATGTACATGTATAAAAATAATCCTATTTATGATGTTTTAAAAATTAAGACCTACGAAAGACTGATTTAAGACATTTTAATACCAATTAAGGCCTTAGTTTTATTTTGAAGAATTCAATGCCTTTTAAGACTTTTTAAGGACCAGTGTTGTAGTACTCGAGATCGGTCTTGGTCTCGAGACCATTTTTTGATGGTCTTGGTCTCGTCTCGGACTTGACCGCATTTGGTCTCGGTCTTGTCTCGGTCTCAGGCGCTGAGGACTCTGCATTTTATTTCAAGACCACAACTGTGGAAATAACACTAATCATCAGAATATTATCAGTTTCTTTAAGATCCTTCTTTTTATTGGATGCTTGGATTCAAATCTAACAAATAACAAGTCTCATTGGTAAATGCAGTGAAGGAGATCAATCTATTTTTTCAACAAATTATCTGTCTCATAACATATTTCACAACTTGGTGACAGATATAGATTTATTTAAGAAAATTCATATAATATAGCTTTAATCTGTATATGAGAGAGAAACAAGAGAAATGATTGGAATTTTTTCAGTTTTACACATTTTACAGAATTTTGCACATTGTTTTGAAATAGCACATTTAAAAACAACATAAATGTATGTACTGTTCATGAAAGGCAGAGAAAATACAATTTTGATCGAGTTTGATTAATTGTTTGAAATTCTGTGATTACTACACAGAAGTACTAAATAGAGATGTTAATGTTTAGTCCAGTTCTCTGTGTTAAATATCTAGGTGTTTTTATGTCAATGAGGGTCTTTTAGATAAATTTTTGTGATTTTGATCATGTTTCACATTTTATTGACTCGGTCTTGACTTCCTTCGGTCTTGGTCTTGACTTGGTCTCGGACCCTAAAAGTCTTGGCCTTGTCTCGGTCTCGATACACTCTGGTCTTGGTCTTGTCTTGGGTTAGGTGGTCTTGACCACAACACTGTTAAGGACCATATTGTCCCCCATTCCAGGTAGGCAATAAAAAATTCTACTGGATTCACTTTGTTTTAGTCTTTTTCCTGCTTCACAAAGGTAGGCAGCAGCTTGACAAAGCCATGATGACAATTATTTTACATCCAAGTAGTATGCAGTTCTTCATATATACACACACATCAATTTTAAACACATGGTATCGGTATCGGCTGATACAGTACAGCCAGATATCTCGTATCAGTGCCAAAAAATGGCATCGGTGCCACACCAATACTGATAAGGAATTTTATTATCCACTGAAAGACGTAGCTGCAGGACCTACCAGCTTGCTGAGTTCGTCCCCTGGTCGGGGGGCTGCGGGGTCCATCGCCGGCAGCGTTGAAGGGGGCCACGCTGATCATGTATGTGGTGTACCCGGTCAGGTTCTTCAGTTTCACACCCCTCTCTGGCATAAAAAGAGTCCGCAGTCGCTCTGTCGCGTTCTTACGCTGGAACTCCCAAAAGTAAATCTATAAGGAATGTTGAAAATATAACAAGATATCAGGTTAAAGGCTGATTCTGTCTGAAAGGTATTTAAAACCTCTAAACATCATCCTCATTTGAAGTAATCATAGCCTATTTTGCATACCCAAATGGAAAAGTAAATAACTGGTTAACTGTAAGCCCAAATTATATATACGATACATCATTTGAAATCTAACACCTTCTAATTTCTGAAAATATTAATTAAATTGGGTAAGTAAAACACAGCCTGAGCTGCAATATTCTAGAAAACAATATTACTTTTTCAACAGCACTAATAAAGACATGCTTGAGAATAGGCATGTCTCATTGTATTAGATCTGTTCTACATTATGTCAATCACAACTGCAGAAAACATCAGACCTCTAGCTACAACAGTTCCAGATCACCAGCGTCTCCAAATCTCTTCTATACATTTATAGACCTAAAATAAAATAATAATCTATAAATAATAGTGAAACTGGTGCTTTTTAAGCTAAAACAAGCCCCAGTTTCTTTTCTGATTTCAAAAACCGGACGTTATGTGGCAGTTTTCTCAACATGGAATATTTTTATTATAAATATTCTAGATTAGTTTTAATCTGTGGACCCTTATGGACAAATAGAGTATAAACAGTTGAAGATTGGATTTATAAAACTATGGAGGATAAAACGGCTTCAGGACGCCTTCAAAAGTATGTTGTTGTGGCTGCTTTGTAATTGGTTATATTTTGACATGCTGTTATATCTGTTAATTGTGTTTTGGTGTTCTCTGTATCCTTAAAACAAACTTTTTGGTTGAATTGTGGAGAATCTAAGCTTTCCCACGATTTCTAACATATCTATATTGGTAAACATTTTACTGGTGGAATTTTCCTGGATTTTGAGTTATTAGTTGTATAAAAAAGGTTGCAGGTGATCGGGTGTGTTTGGAGAGGATAAACATGGGAGAAATGGAATAAACATGATTCTAAAAAAAATACCAAACTTTCAATTTTCTTCTCTCAGTCAGAACTTCCAAAGTGAAGAGTATCATTGTAAATATAGTAGGATTGATGCTCAGAAAACAGGTTGGATGTTTGAATTTAGACATTATGATTTCATCACATGCGTGAAACAGGGACAGTATGGGAATCTGACCTTGTAGCCTTGGATGTCTCCATTTTGAGCATTTACAGGTGGAGGATCCCATGTGACGTCCAACTGGGTAGCCGTCGCCGACTGAATAGCAACATTCTGTGGTGGGGCTGTTGGGACTATCACAGCAAAATGGAAGTAAACAAGAATTAAAAGAGTTGGTTTTGCATTAGTGTAACAGAGAGAATGCAAATAGGAAAGTCTGTACTTATAACCTGAGGAAATGCGTAAAAGTATCAGTAAGAATATTTTTTTGTAAGTCATTGGTTTACAATTCTTGGATTGTTTAATCTTTCTGTAAAAGAAAGTCTAAAACAATTCCAGCTAAATGCATCTAGCTTATCACAGTCATATATCATGGAATCCTGTATCACTAGTGTTTGAGCTTTACCCATCTCCATATCATTGTGTTTAACTGTTTCTTAAACAGAAGGTGTTACACTGCAAAAACAATCTAGAAATAAGTAAAAATTTCTTAAATTAAGTGTATTTACCCTTAATTTGAGTAGGTAAATAAGATTATTTGCCAATGAAATTAGTATCTTTACTCTTAAAATAAGATAATTAGATAATATGAACTTAAAATAAGACATTGCAATAGTTTTTTTCTTATTTTAAATGTAAATTGTCTTGTTCCATTGGCAAAGTGTCTCACTTTTGTCTACTGGAAAAACGATCTAGAAATAACAAAAAATGTCTTAAATTAAGTGTATTTACCCTTAATGTGAGTAGGTAATTGAGATGGTTTGCCAATATAATGAGTATTTTTACTCTTAAAATAAGATAATTTGATAAAATGCACTTTAAATAAGACAATGAAATTGAGTTTTCTTATTTTAAGTGTAAATTGTCTTGTTCCATTGGCAAGATGTCTCTTTTACCTCCTCAATCCAAGAACAAATACACTAATTTTAAGAAAAAAAATAACTTATCTAGATTTTTATTTTTTCCAGTGTCCTCAGTTCGAGAAAAAATTCACTTATTTTAAGAAAAAATGACTAACTTAGATTTCGATTTTTTGCAGTGTACAGCTTCAAATACATAAATCCAAAGACTTAACTGGACCCAGAATTTTAACAAGGTACGATTCCATCCACAGATGTGTTATAATACCGTGCAAATCTCTTCTACTCACCAAAATAAGCAAACAGAGGCACACATACCTGCTTCCCCAACAAAAACCTCCTGGGGTGGGCTGCCTGGCCCCTCTCCCACAGCGTTGTACACACTCATGCGTATTTCATAGCGCTTGTGTTTACTGAGCTCTGCAGCAGAGAGAAACAGTTTCACATGTAAAATTTAAGAGGTTCAATCATCAGTTTGAGCTTTGGCCTAAATAAGTAGAAACTTTACTCATCAACCATGAAAACCTGTATTCTCCTACCTTCAACGGCAGCGAAACTCTGATTACATTTAAAAAAGGAGCCACGTTAAACTATTAAGAGATTAAAAAAAAAGATTTCCTGCTTTGATAACTTTACTTTGAGAACTGTGTTAAAAAAACAAAACATTTTACTTTGAAATTATAATCATAAATCTGTATATTTCAGAATAAAAGTACAAGATATTGAATAAGCATAACTTTGCTAGAAAATATGGTACCATTAGACATTCACATACCTTACATTGTACTTCATTTTATTATATTAAATAAAATTTGGTGTTCAGAAAGATGCTTTATTTATTTTATTCAAAACCTTTTTAAGTATAAAATATTTGCACTCATACAGTAGATCAATATCTTGTTGAGGCTCTTCTTGCAGCAGCAGCACATAAAGCCTGAAATATTGATGTGTCAACACTGCAAAAACGATCTAAAAATGAGCAAAAATGTACGGAATTAAGTGTATTTACCCTTAATTTGAGCAGGTAAATAAGATGATCTTCCAATGGAATGAGTATTTTCACTATTAAAATAAGATAATTAGATAATATGCACTTGTAATAAGACAATATAATTGTTTTTTCTTAAATTAAATGTATGTTGTCTTGTTCTATTAGCAAAGTGTCTCACTTACCTCCTTAATTCAAGAAAAAAACAAACTTATTTTAAGGAAAATATGATTTATTTATTTATTGATTGTCCTAATTCCAAGTCAATCCAAGTCCAATCCAAGGGACTCATAAGAAGGTTTGCTGGAAAAAATCGAAATCTAGATAAGTAATTTTTTCTTTAAATAACTGCATTTGTTCTTGAATTGAGGGGGTAAAAGAGACATTTTGCCAATGGAACAAGACAATTTAGATTTAAGAAAACAATTGCATTGTCTTATTTCAAGAGCATATTATCTAACTGTCTTATTTTAAGAGTAAAAATACTCATTCCATTGGCAAACTATCTAATTTACCTACTTAAAGTAAGGATAAATGCACTTAATTTAAGAAATGCTAACTTATTTCTAGAGCGTTTTTGCAGTGGCTGCACTGGAAAAAATTGCAATCTAGATAAGTCATTTTTTCTTAATATAAGTGCATACGTTCTTGAATCAAGGAGGTGAGACACTTTGCCAATGGAACAAGACAATTTACATTTAAAATAAGGAAAAAACAATTGCATTGTCTTATTTCAAGTGCATATTATATAATGATCTTATTTTTAGAGTAAAAAATCTCATTCCATTGGCATATCATCTTATTTACATACTCAAATTAAGTGGAAATGTTGACTTATTTCTAGATTGTTTTTTGCCATGTGCCTTTATTCCCTTGTCTCCACACTGCAAAAATTATCTAGAAATAAGTGAAAATGCCTTAAATTAACTGAATTTACTCTTAATTTGAGCAGAAAGATAAGACAGTTTGCCAATGGAATGAGTATTTTTATTCTTAGAATAAGTTAATTAGATAATATGCACTTGAAATAAGACAATGCAGTTGTTTTTTCTTATTTTAAGTGTAAATTGTCTCGTTTCATTGGCAAAATGTCTCACTTACCTCCTCAATTCAAGAAAAAAATGCATTTATTTTAAGAAAAAATGACTTAATTACATTTACATTTTTTTGCAGTGCAGATACGATGCTTTACGCTTTGGCCAGAAATGTTGGTTTGGTTTTCATCAAACCAGTATATTTAATTTAAACTGGTTGGACATTTTCTAAGAGCTACCTGATCCATTTCAACAGGGCTGCCTCGGCCTTTTAGTGAGGAAGGATTTCTCTCAAACCATCTGTTAACCATCTGGAAGGATCTCATATTTACCATAAGAGAAAACTGGAGCTATGCCTCAGTGATCATCGGTTTCTGGTCTGTTTACTATTTCTTACACTTCCAAAGACACAGAGACCACAGTTATTTTCAAGATGTTCAGTGTTGACAATACATATTTGGATCTTTCATTAAATTTGTACTTTTAACAGCCCTATTTCAGGGATTGGAGGATTTATTTTTTTCACTTCAGTTCTTGGCTTCTGTTCTGATACTAGCTGTCAACTATAAAAACGGAAAAAATAGCTGTATTCTATTAAAATTCAGTTTTGGATTCCTTTCAAGAAGAAGAGGAATCTCAAGGATAATCAGTTAAAATCAAAAGCACCTTCTCTCAATTCTAAGATGCATAATTATGCTTTTCATAAATGTAGAAAAATGTCCAGAATGTTTTATTTTTCTCAGTTTTTCCACAGTTTTAAAATAAGTCCTCATTGGTCATAGCTACAACTTTTTAATCAAACCGATTAAACTTTCAAAAACAACATATCCACAAGATAAATGAATTTATTTTATTGAAAAAAAATGTGTAGTGAATAAATAATTACTTTATACATTTCCACAATATACAAATAATGTGTTTATTTTGGGTTAAAATGCCAATGTTGATACTAAAGGATCCTTCTGGAAAAAATCAAAATCTTGATAAATCATTTTTTCTTAAAATAATCTTAAAATGTTCTTTGATTGAGTAGATAAAAGTGACATTTTGCCAATAGAACAAGACAATTTATTCTTAAAATAGGAAAACACAACTGCATTGTCTTATTTCAAGTGCATTTTATCTAATTATCTTATTTTAAGAGTAAAAATACTAATTCCATTGGCAAACTACCTGATTTACCTGCTCAAATTAAGGGTAAATACACTTAATTTAAGAAAGTTTTACTTATTTCTAAATCGTTTTTCCAGTGCAACAGAAATATTAGGTAAAAGTCACGTGAGACGGAGCTCAGGCATTGCCAGATTTTTTTCTTCTGATGTTACTTTCTCAGATGCAAGGCAAAAAAATAAAAACTCATAAAAAGAAGCAAAATGTGGCTGAATATCAACAAAGCTTTTAAGCTGTTTTTGGCATTGACTTAAGGAAGTAAAGAGGCTCACAAGGCATGAGAGGCAGTGTTGTGCATGAACACGTTCACTGAACACGTTCATATTTTTAGTGAACGGATCAGATTTGAAGTAATGAACGTGAATGAGAGCGACGTTCACTCTGAGAATAACGAGTGACACACACAGAGCGCGTTGGCGTTCAGTTGATAACGACACTTTTCATTGGATAACGTCGGGTTTTACTGCACTTATTGCGGCTAACAGCCTGACAGAGCAGCATGTCTACTGCTAGTACCAGTCTGCTCCATTCAGACACATAAGTAATCATTTTGGATCCAGATCTTTTCAGCAGAACCTGAATGTTCCTGTATGTTTCTAAAGTTCTGTGTAATTTAACTAAATAAAGGCTTCACTGCACATCCAGTATACCTTGACTGCATCCTGTATTTTCCATTTCTTTCTATATATTATCAATTACACATTTAAAGGGGGAATATGTGAAGGATTGTGGCTTTATTTACCAAATGAACTCCAACTGGTTCATTTATAGGTCTGTGAACCTGTTCATTTTTGAAAAAGTGAACTATGAACGTGAGCTAGTTCATTTCTATTTGTGTAACCTGAACTTTGAGGTTATTCTTTTAAACTATGAAATGACACAATAGTGATTAGAGGCAGGGTGGATATTTGTAATGCTAAACATTAGCATTCGCAGACCTAACGATTGGATGGCAAACAATAGGAAAGAGAGAGGGCGAGTGGGACAGCTCCACTCGCTGCCTGGGAGAAGTTCAGCATGTAGCTAACGCCTTACCAAATAAAGAGATAACAGAGTAAAACAGTCTTTGATCTGTGAAAAAGGGGAGTGGATATTTCTTGGGAGCGGCATACTTGTCAATGGATTCTCCATTTGCCTGATTTAAAACATTTTTTAAATCCACCACGGGTGTAGCAGCTTCAGTAGGGAGGCCCAGACGTCCCTCTCCCCAGCCACTTCGGCCAGCTCCTCCATTTGTTAAATGTTACGTTTATAAGTTTTATTCTATCTATGCTTCTTTTTCTATGTCTGCTTCTGTCTCCTTGAACCCCAGTGGGCCTCAGCAGATGGCCGCTCACACTGAGCCTGGTTCTGCTGGAGGTTTCTTCCTGTTCAAAGGGAGTTTTTCCTCTCCACTGTCGCTACAAGCATGCTTAGTGTGAGGGATTGCCTTCGATTCAATAAGTCGATGCAATCAACTGATTTTCCTTAGATAGAAAACTTTAAATCAATTTGACTGGATGATCTGGTTGAACTGGTAAGTGCTTTCAGATGACGTGTGTAATGAATTGGCGCTATAGAAATAAACTGAATTGAAAACCGAATTACTTCTTCAACAGAAGACTTGATTTTTCTTAGTTTTTTACATGAAAGTAAATTCTTGTTAGACACAAACTTACTGTCAAGCTCGTACTGACTGAGAGTCGGATCGCTGAGGTTCCGGATGGTGTAGGGGGCTGAGGAAAGAAAGAGAAACATTTAAAATAAACAGGTTTATGAAGACATGCATTCATTACAATTCCAAGCGCTTTCACCGCTGAGGAGACCAGTGCTGTTTTCATGAAACCCAACCTAAACAATCCTTGAGATCATGGCTGTAAATTAGCCCCAGAATGACTCAACAAGCGTCAAATTACAGGCTACGTTGCACAGAGCGGTGGAAACAGAGTGGCTCCTGAGTAAACCTAATAACAGCCTGCAGCTTATGAGCGCTGATCACAAGATGAAATGTTTTGCTGTGAAGTGTCAAGACCATTGGGGATACGACAGCAACAGAATGGGCCTGTGTGACAGTTTCCCTCTAATGGAAATAATGGTGCTGCTGACATAGAAATAATCAGCCAAGACAGAGTCTTATAATTGAAGTGTGGAGACTTCACCTTTTTAAAACTCATTTCGGTTTCTCTCTATTCTTGGTTGTTTTTTTTATCATTTTTGTTGCAGAGGGTCTCTTCTATTCAATCCTTAGAGTATGAAACATGTATTTTATTTTAAGGATAGTAACGTATGAAAATTGAACCTAAGATATCCTCATCATATCATCAATGAACCCATGATGCTTAGCATGTAAAACTAACCCCAATGCTTCTTAAATAATAAAGCAAATGTTTTTGGCACGTTGTTCCTTTGAAAAAAGAGCAGTAGAATCAAGGTTAAGATGGTGCTAAATTATAAAGGTACAGTAGCAGGCATTAAAAATGGCCCTTCCCAATTAAATGCCAGCCGAAAGGCAGCCTACTCTCCTGCAACTTCCAGCCAAATCCCATCCAACTTCCAGCCACTGGTCTTCTCCTGGGCGTGCATTTTTTACTCTTACTCCAGGCTTTCACTGAATTACAGGGTCTGACCAGGAGATGATGCTTCTCTTTAGATCTTAATGTCCACAAATCATGACAGAAAGAATATTTTAGTACAAAGATTGATGTTTAAAAAGGAATTGTAGGGGACCAGCCAAGGACCATCAAGCAAAGTGGGCCAATTTTGAATGGCTACTACTGTATAAAGAAATCCTAGACAAGTAATTGTTGCTCCTCTCATAATGGGAAAGGGTATAACACCACTGCTTTTTCTACCACTGGTGCCCAGAAAAAGTAATAAAACAAAATCCATCCAAGGTTGTACTGGTCCCAGTTAGCATGCTAAAAGTTAAGGTTGAAAAATAACTGTTTGACTGAAAGGAGTGAGAAAGAGTTTCTCTTTAAGTTAGGTTTGCAAAGTTGACATGAATGAACCAAAGAGAGTTTGGAACAATGTCCTTTTGACAAAAGAGTATGAAAAATAGCAGAATATGTTTTACACAAAATGAAAAGAAACATGTTTAAAGAAAACCAACACAGTTCATAATCACAACCAGCTACTGGCTGAAAGGCATGGCTAGGAAAGTGTGTTATTTTTTTTTTTTGTAACGGCACTAGTGCACTGGAAAAATGATGTAGAAATATGTAAAATTTCTTAAACTAAGTGTATTTATCCTTAATTTGAGTCAGTAAATGAGATATTTTGCCAATGGAATGAGTAGATTTACTCTTAAAATAAGATAATTAGATAAAATGCACTGGAAATGAGACGATGCAATTGTGTTTTCTTATTTTAAGTGTAAATTATTTTGTTCCATTGGCAAAATGTCTCTTTTACCTCCTCAATTCAAGGACAAATGTACTTATTTTAAGAAAAAATGACTTATCTAGATTTCGATTTTTTCCAGTGTGGCTCGTTTTTTTGACAGTAGGCTAACAGGAAAGGGGGAATGAGAGAGGGGGAGGACATGCAGCAAAGGATCACAGGTGGGGTTTGAACCCAGTGTCACTACTCGATCCGTCCCGGAAGCACGATCTGTCCTGCACATGCTCAAACAGATATACATGAAAAAACACAGTTGCTTTGTCTTATTTCAAGTGAATATTATCTAATTATCTTATTTTAAGAGTAAACATGCTAATCCCATTGGCAAACTATCTCATTTACCTACTCAAATTAAGGCAAAAAAAAATTAATTTAAGACATTTTTTTACTTATTTCTAGATCGTTTTTCCAGTGTGTGGTGGGATTTTAAAAAAAGTGGCATGAAAACAAATGTCTGCAAACTGCAATCAGAAATATATGAAAGAAGAGTGGAGAAAAATGATTCAACAATACGAAGGCTTGTGACACAAACCAGTTACGGAGAGTTATTGATGCTAAAAAGGGTTATAAATCTGCTGCTGCTCCCCTGTTTTTCACAGTTTTTTTTTAACTTACGTTGCGTTTATTTTCAATAAATCCAGACGGGATAAAATCTGATGTCAGTTTTTGCCTCCTGACATGTATGACCTCTGAGTTAAAAGCAGGGAGCCATTTCTTTAGCTGAACACATGTTTCTCCTCACCGTTCAGCTCGGCCCATGAGGACAGGCTGTTCAGTGTGTGAATGTAGTTTCGGAGACGGTCATACAGCAGCTCACGGTAGCGAATCCGAAATCCCAGTAAAATTCCATTGATCTTCTCCTCAGGAGGTGGCTAAGGGAAGAAAAAAAAAGAAGTTACTGCATAAACAGCTGATTTTACAGGGAAATATACCTTAATCAACACATGATGTATGTCTCTAAGGGATTAGCTTTTTAGGATAGAGAAAGATGGGGAAAAACCTCTCCTCGAAGACGGAGCACTTATCCACATGTTAAGTAATGCAGTGAAATCCCCCTTGGCTGAACATGAGAGAACGAGCCCAGAGGGAAAGGAAGAGAGATAAACAAACATCATTCTATCCTCATAATCTCTACAAGGGTTCATAAAAGTAAAACTGTCTGCGTGCCTCCTGTTTCCCGCTGTATGAGCCGTTAATTCAGCCAAGGAGGAGGGGTGTTTTTATATCACACAGTAAAACAGTCTGGATTCTGTAAGAACAGGCTTTCAACTCTCATGCTCTCTTATTAGAGTTAACTTTCTCAGACTTAAATGGCCTCTGCAGCCAACGAGAGGAGAAAAAAAAAAAAACAAACCAAGCAGAATCTGTTCTGCTGTCTGCTCTCACCTGCCAGCGGATCAGCACCGACGTGGTTGTGTGCGGCGTGACAGAGAGGATTGTCGGCGCTTCGTCTGGCGCTGAGGCAATAAAAGCGAGATAGATTAGCTAAATTGACTTGAAAATGCGCACTATTCAGCCAGCTAAATCTGTCCACAAGCTGTGCCATTCAGGGAGAGTAAACACACACAGGGGAGACAACGCAGGAGAAGGATTGACCGCCGAGTTACAAATGGCAGGGAGAGACGATCAGGAGAGATACATTTCTTTAGCTGGTGGCTATTGTTTAGCCCAGATTTAAAGACGGCTCCCCTGTCTCCAGGAACCACAGATGGCGCACACATTAATCAACCTCTGCTTTTGCCAGCAGGGTCCAAATCATGGCAAAAGGACTAATTCATGCAAACATTGAGCGACTAAAACTGAAATAGAACTAATTCTATCTTTTTCGACTCTTCTGTCTACCTCTCTGGTTAATCTAAAAGGAAACCATCAATAAGCTTATGTCACTTATGTCCTGTGCTTCTGATGTATGGAAGGAATTAACTTAAATATAATATTGATAAAAGTATTACACTGCAAACACAATCTAGAAATAAGAAGACATTTCTTAAATTAAGTGTATTTAGCCTTAATTTGAGTAGGTAAATAAGATAATCTGCCAATGGAATTAGATATTTTACTCTTAAAATAAGATAATTACACTGCAAAAATGATCTAGAAATAAGTAAAATTTTCTTAAATTAAGTGCATTCACTCTTAATTTGAGTAGGTAAATGAGATAGTTTGCCAATGGAATGAGTATTTTTACACTTAAAATAAGATAATTAGATAATATGAACTTGAAATAAGACAATGCAATTGTGTTTTCTTATTTTAAGTGTAAATTACCTTGTTCCATTGGCAAGATGTTTCTTTTACCTCCTCAATTCAAGAACAAATGCACTTATTTTAAGAAAAAAATGACTTATCTAGATTTAGATTTTTTGCAGTGTAGATAATATGCAGTTTAATTAATAACAATGTAATTTTGTTCTCATTTTAAATGTAAATTGTCTTATTCCATTGGAAAAGAATCTCACTTACCTCCTTAATTGAAGAAAAAATTCGCTTTTTTTAACGAAAACATGACTTATTTATATTTAGATTTTTTTCCTGTGTAAACACTGGAAAAATGATCTAGAAATAAGTAAAAATGTCCTAAATTAAGTGTATTTACCCTTAATTTGAGTAGGTAAATGAGATAGTTTGCCAATGGAATGAGTATTTTTACTCTGATAAATAAGATAATTAGATATTATGCACTTGAAATTAAACAACGCTATTCTGTTTTCTTATTTTCCCCTTCAGGATCTTCTTCCTCTGTTTGCTGTTTTGTAGATAATGGTGTAAAAAAAAAAAAAAAACTACAGGATTTAAATCCTGATTACAGCTGATAAAAGTATAATTCGAACCAACATGACCTTCCTCAAAACTATAATTGTACCCAATTTAATATAATAGATTCACTGTGATTCAGAACATTCTTTTTATTTTCCTCTGTTTTACACACCCACAGGTGTCTAACATCTACGGAGCCCCCTAGGGGACATGGGGAATTTTTTTTTTCTTTTGCGTTCCCTCGCAAAAGTATTGCGTTACCTCGCAAAACCTTTTGCGAAAGTTTTGCGTTCCCACGCACTGTATAATCACAGAGCTATTGATTAAAATAGGATGATTAATGCTTAATAATAACGAAAAAATTCTTAAAAAAAAGGTTTATTTTTCCAAACCAGCTGTTGTAGTGCGATCACCAAGAGCCCCTTGGTGTGTGTGGTGATTTTGGAGTCTCTGCACTTTATGGCAGTGGAGTTATTGATTTTTATTTGAAACGTTTTGCTGTTGTATTACCATTTGCAGACGGTCCCTAACCACTCGCCTGGCCGTTGCCTGTGCATAGAGATCAATGTAATACATCCAGCTTGGAGAATTGCTCGTTTTTCTCGAAAATAGCGCTTTTTGATTCTTGTAATACGTAGTCCGTGCTATCAGGACATGAAAGAGGCGCCATTTGTGTTTCAACAACGAGAGTTATTGATCCCGGAAGTCTGAATCTGTGAATATCTTTCTAACTTTACAGAAGTAAGGTTTTGCGTTCTCACGCAAAAGGTTTTGCGAGGTAATGCAAAATTTTGCGAGGTAACGCAATACTTTTGCGAGGGAACGCAAAAGAAAAAAAAAATCCCCATGTCCCCTAGTGGGCTCCGTAAACATCAGACTTGTAAATCCGAGAGATTAAATAAAACAAATGCTTACAACATAGCATTGTATAAAAATCATGGCACACCTAATATGAAGAATTTCAAGAAATTATAAAGAACTGAAATTAAAAGGATAACAAAGCAATTCATAATATTATGATTGATAAGAAAACAAGAAAGTTAGACTTTAAACTTAGCTAATAATGTTTAGATTTCACAGTCAAAAGCTGCTCTAAACAATTATGATTTAAATATAGATTTAAAACTATTGAGTTTAGTAGAGTTTGGTAGATTAGTAGAGAATAAGAACGTCTTACCAGTTTTAAATGTTTGGTTCTGGTTCTGGATTTGATGCAGTAGACCTGAAAGGTCTGGCTGTTGATTCATCTACAAACAGTATGTAATGTATTTTGTATTTTGAAGCTAAAGCATTCAATCATTTATAGACCAACAGAAAAAGGTTAAAGTGGAAGCACTTTAGAACTAGGCTGATGTTCTCTACTGTCTTAGTTCTAGTGAGGACGCTGGCAGCAGCATTCTGGATCAGCTGTCTGATCAAAGGATCTGGGATTCAATAGAAATGCACTGAGAGCCAACATCCATGTGGATCATCCATGTGGAATGAAGGAAAACTTTTCAGATAGTAAACCAGTGGCATAAATGATGCGATTCTGACAAGACATTTCTAAGGAAAGTATTGACATCTCCATGTATAGATAGATTTACTAATGCTGGGCAGAACATTAGCAGAAATGGACATAAATGCTGCCAGATCTTTTGTGTTTTCATACTGTTTTTAATTTTGCCACAAGAGATCCCTCCCCGCTGCTATAACTACCGGCAAACTGGGCACACCACAGAGAGCTGTAAATGCTTTAATTAAGTTGGAGGTTTCCATGTTCTTGGAAAGCAACTCTTCTGATTGTCTCCATCTGACAGAATAACTGAAAAAATAAATCTTCACTTTTATGAATACATATTTGAGCTGAAGACTTTGCTACTGTATCACTACTGTGGACCTGGGTGGACCTTTTGTCTTGCATATTGCTCTTTTTTTTCTATAATTCCACAAAAAACGGTCATGTCAAATATAAAAACAGCTAGGGTTGTCAAAAGTATCGATACCCAAAAAAGTATTGATACTGAAACGTTGTTTCCGGATACAATACTCATTTTCAAAAGTATCGATACAGTGCCACCACCAGTGGCACCTAAACAGTCATTCAGCTAAAGTGCAGAATAGAGGAAAATGCACTTTCTGAACACTGTGTGATTGAATAATGCTGTGCACTTTTCAGTTTCAGACTTTTTTTTTTGTAACAGGTGCAGCTGCTGAGAATTATTTTTGTTTCTTAACCGGTTTGGCTAGTGTCATTGTTATGTGTGCAAAGCATAGCCAAGTAAGGAAAACCTAATTTTAATTTTGTAAGTGTTTTATCAAGCTCGCTTAATACTCTGCACAGCATACAACCTCAAAATATTGTTCTTATTGTTTATTGTATTTATTTATTGTATTTTAATTATTAATCAAAATATTTCTGTTGAAATTTGGAGTTTTTATTCTTGTGGTATCGAAAATGGTATCGAGTATCGAATAATTTCCTTAGTATCGGTATCAAGTTGAAAAGTTTAGAATCGTGACAACCCTAAAAACAGCTAACTAAAAGTGTTGCATCGATACCAGTATCGGGAGGGGACCCGATCAAACACTAATATTGTAGTATCGGTATCGGCGAGTACCAACAAAAAGGGCACCGATACCAATTTGAGAACCAAAAGTTTCTTCTGCTATTGTCCCCCATTCCAGGTAGGCAATAAAAAGTTCTACTGGATTCACTTTGTTTTAGTCCTTTTCTTGCTTCACAAAGGTAGGCAGCAACTTTATAAAGCCATGATGGCAATTATTGTAAATCCAAGCAGTATGCAGTTCCTCACATATACACAAATCAATTTCAAACAGATGGTATCTGTATCGGCCGATACTGCACAGCCAGGTATCGGGTATCGGTATCGGGGCCAAAAAATTAACCTGACTCCGCCAGATGGATTTGCTCCGCACATCCATCTAGAAACCTTCCGTAGATGCAATTTTGGGAAGGGGCGAAAATACTGGTTAGCTGATTGGCCTATGTTGGTGATAGACCTGCCAAATAAACCAATCAGATCAACGAAGCATATGACGTACTAACAGAGCGACGACGAAGAGGAGCCAATTGATAGATCAAACTCTTGCCGAAACCAGTCGGGAGAAGAGCAAAAACATCTTTTCCTCTGAGAAAAGCCTCCAGAGCAGTGTTTTGCTCTTCTTTCAGTGAAGAAATACTCTGTAATTTCGATAAAACCTGCTCCATAACGCTAGTTTCATCGGCTGAAGCCGCCATGTTCTTTAGACAGAACTGTCGCGTTTCTCGTTGCGTCACACCTCAACCCGCCTCAAAGCCAACGCTGATTGGACGTTCGTTTGGTGAACGGCTCCAAATTTTCTTTAACGGAGAGTTTCTAGACTGATTAGCGAGTGAAATCTTGAAAGCTCACGAGATCAGGATGGTCTCACGAGGCTACCAAAAAATGGAATTGGCGCAACATTAATAGTAATCTATCTAATCTAGATAGATAGAATATTCTTTTTTGTTTCTGCATTTTTTATTTGATTTTTTTTTATTTTTTTCCTACTTGCTTTGATTCTGTTTTATTTTCCTATATTTTAATCATGTAAAGCACTTTGCATTGTCTTTGTACTGAATTGTGCTATACAAATAAATTTGCCTTGCCTTGCCTTGCCTTGCCTATGTTCTTTTTAGCTCGTGACTTTAGAATAAAACATTTATGAATATTTGAGGCTGCTGGTTGTTGGACCCATTTTCACTTTCAGTGACACATCGAATTTAGAATAGAATAGAAAATCTCTTTATTAGCCAACAATGGAAAAATTCTGCTAAACTTATAACTTGATAAATAGCTAAATCCACTGATATTTAAACACAACAAACATAATGAATTTATGTCTCACCATCCTGTAGAGTTGTGATAGCTTCACTCTCCTCACTGTACTCACTGTCCCCTATGTCGTTGGTAGCTTTTACTCTGAACTGATAGGAAGTAAAGGGTTTCAGCCTGAAAAGGAGAAGCAACAGGAAGTGGATCAGTCTGTAGTCAGAAATTACAGCACATTTTCCTGAGAAACAGCTTCACCAAGCAAAAACAAACACATAATGAGCCTTAATTTAAGCAAAAATGAAAGAAAGCTCAAACACAATATCATATTTCAAATTGTCAAGGTGATTAAAACTGTTTTGCTTCACAGTGTAATTGGATTTGATCTGCAATCTGTTGTAAAGCTGAAGGAACACGAGCAGATTTTCAGAAGACAGATGTTTAAAGTATTTCCATGCAAACAGAACAGAAAGAAAAACTAATTTCAGGGAAGGTCTTTAATTAGAAGTTGGAATCTGAGAATCGATCTCTACCCGGACACAATGTAGGACGTAGCCTCGTGGTTGACGGAGGCGGAGTGCACCGTCCAGTTGTTCTGGGGCAGCTCCTTCTGCTGCACGGTGTAGTAACGCACTGGGGAGAGCCCATCGCTGCCCGGCTCCCAGGAGAGCAGCACCTGACGGGCCTGGACATCCTTCTGAGGAACGATGGGGCGGCTGGTGGGCTGGGGACGAGCTGAAACCACCAGAGGCAGAAACTGAGGTGTGGACATTTTTCCATGGGGCATTTTCAAGTCCATTTACAGTAATAGGGTAAAAAAATCAATTCTTTGGAAAGGATTCGCTGTGTCATCTTCTTTATTTGTGCTAAAACAGGATCTTGACAGATTCAATTCAATTCAATTCAGTTTATTTATATAGCGCCATATTCACAACACATGTCATCTCAAGGCACTTTACAGTTCAACCAGATCATACAGTCAAATTGATACAAAGTTTTCTATCTAAGGAAAACCAGTTGATTGCATTGACTCATTGACTCAAATACAATCCCCCACACTAAGCATGCTTGTAGCGACAGTGGAGAGGAAAAACTCCCTTTTAACAGGAAGAAACCTCCAGCAGAACCAGGCTCAGTGTGAGCGGCCATCTGCCGAGGCCGACTGGGGTTCAAGGAGACAGAAACAGAGATACAAAAAGCAGCTGTAAAAGGCGGCCCCGTCCAGGAAACACACAGCCAGGGAGACGAGCTCCAAGGCAGCTCCCATGCCAGAGGACGAAGAGAGCACATCCACTCAGTCACGGCCAGAGAAACAGGACCACACTGGAAAACAGGCCGATCTCCAACATCTATAAACAAGGGTGTTGATGGAAGCAGCACAGCTGATGTTTCTTTCCAGGATGACGTCACAGCCAAACAGGAACAGACGAGGCAAAGCTACTCTGAGGAAAAGCAGAGAGAGCAGAAGGTTAGAGATTGAACTAACAGATTCTGCAGAATAGGAGAACAGAGAGAGAATGAAGCAGAATGATGAAATGGGGGTCCCTATGTCCTCCAAAAGTCTAAGCCTATAGCAGCATAACTATAGAGATAGCTCAGGATAACCTGAGCCACCCTAACTATAAGCTTTATCAAAAAGGAAAGTTTTAAGCCTAGCCTTAAAAGTAGACAGGGTGTCTGCCTCACGGACTAAAACTGGTAGTTGGTTCCACAGGAGAGGAGCCTGATAACTAAAAGATCTGCCTCCCATTCTACTTTTAGAAATTCTAGGAACCACTAGTAAACCTGCAGATTGAGAGCGAAGTGCTCTGTTAGGAACATAAGGAACAATCAGATCTCTGATATAAGATGGTGCTTGGCCATTTAAGGCTTTATATGTGAGAAGGAGGATTTTAAATTCTATTCTTGATTTAACAGGAAGCCAATGAAGAGAAGCCAGGATAGGCGAGATATGATCTCTCTTTTTAATTTTCATCAGAACCCTGGCTGCAGCATTTTGGATCAGCTGAAGGCTTTTAACTACAGTTTGTGGACTTCCTGATAGTAAAGAATTACAATAGTCCAGCCTTGAAGTAACAAATGCATGGACTAGTTTCTCAGCATCACCCCTGGACAGGATATTTCTAATTTTTGCAATGTTCCTCAGATGAAAGAAGGAAATTCTAGAAACCTCTTTGATATGGGATTTAAATGACAGGTCCTGATCAAAAATAACACCAAGATTTTTTACTTTATTATCTGAAATCAGTTTAATCCCATCCAAATGAAGTGACTGGCTAATCAGTTTCTTTTTCAGAGACTCTGGTCCAAAGACTATAACTTCTGTTTTATCTGCATTCAGAAGCAGAAAGTTAAGAGTCATCCAGGTTTTTATGTCTTCAAGACATGCCTGTAATCTATGTAATGGGTTAGCTTCATCTGGATTTATAGACAGATATAGCTGGGTATCATCAGCATAACAGTGGAAATTAATCCCATGCTGTCTAATAATTCTACCAATTGGGAGCATGTATAAAGTAAAGAGAATTGGTCCTAGCACTGATCCCTGTGGTACTCCACAGGTAACCTTTGAGCGTGTTGAAGATCTATCATTAACATGAACAAACTGAATTCGATCAGATAGATAAGATTTAAACCAGTCTAGTGCTGTTCCTTTAATTCCAACAAAATATTCAAGTCTTTCTAAAAGAATATTATGGTCAACTGTATCAAATGCAGCACTAAGATCCAACAGGACGAGCACAGATACAAGTCCATTATCTGAGGCCATGAGAATATCATTAGTGACTTTCACCAGAGCTGTTTCAGTGCTATGATGAGCTCTAAAGCCAGACTGAAACTCTTCAAAAAGTTCATTATGGTGTAAGTGATCGCAAACTTGTTTGGCAACTACTTTCTCAAGAATTTTGGATAAGAAAGGAAGATTGGATATAGGTCTATAATTGACCAAGTCATCTGGGTCAAGAGACGGTTTCTTAAGCAGAGGTTTAATTACAGCAACCTTAAAAGCTTTAGGTACATATCCCTGTAACAGAGATAGATTAATCACATCTAAAATGGAGGAGGAGATCAAAGGGAATACCTCCTTAAATAACCTGGTTGGAACTGGATCTAACATACAAGTTGAAGGCTTAGATGAAGACAATAATTTTGCTAATTCAGAGAGTTCAACTGGATCAAAGCAGTCTAAACCCGGTTCAGATTCCATGACTACCTCAGGTACAATCGCGGATAGAGGAGTGCTTATGATCTTATTTTTAATAAGATCAATCTTATTTATAAAGAATCCCATAAAATCATTGCTGCTAAGAGCAGGTGGAATGGACGGTTCAACAGAGCTATGGCTCTGGGTGAGTTTGGCAACTGTATTAAAAAGAAATCTAGGATTATTCTTATTCTCCTCTATTAATGAGGAGAAGTATGCTGCTCTTGCTTTACAAAGGGTCCTCTTATACAGCAGTAAACCATTTTTCCAGACTAGGAAGGACTCTCGCAGGCCTGTGGAGCGATATTTTCTCTCCAGTTTCCTAGCATTTTGCTTCAAAGTACGCAGCTCTGCATTAAACCAAGGAGCAAGCTTTCTATTTTTAACGGTTTTCATTTTCAAAGGAGCTGCGTTGTCTAAGGCAATACGCAGAGAACTAGCAACCCCATCAACAAAATCATCAACCTGTGAAGGGGAATAAGCTAAGCTTTTGCACTCTGCAGCACTGCTCAGTGACACAGAGGAGAGAGAAAGTGAAGCAGATTCTTTAAAATTTTTAACTGCACTATCTGATAAAGATCTACTAAAATTGAACCTTCTTTTGGGGGAGGAGAACTCTGTTAAAGTAATCCTGAAGGTTATTAGAAAGTGGTCAGAGAGGACAGGGTTGTGAGGACATACTGTTATTTCTTCACATTCTATGCCGTATGTCAGCACAAGATCCAAAGTATGAAGATGAGAATGCGTGGGACTATTCACATTTTGAACAAAGCCAACAGTGTCTAAGATAGCATTAAAGGCTGCTCTTAAGCTATCGCCTTCAATGTCAGCATGGATGTTAAAATCTCCCACTATGATGACCCTGTCAGTATTTAATACCAAATCAGAAAGGAACTCTGAAAACTCATCTAAAAATTCAGAGTAAGGACCTGGTGGACGATACAAAGTTACAAAAAGAAGAGATTTTCTTGCCTTGAAATTTGGATCAGGGAAATTAAGGGTTAAATGTTCAAAAGAGTTGTAGGTATTAATTGTTTTGGGAGTAATCAGTAAGTCAGACTGGAAGATTGTTGCTACTCCTCCTCCTCGCCCAGAACTTCTGGGGATGTGAAAATTTAAATAGCTTGAAGGAGTTGCCTCATTTATGCTCACATAATCCTCTTGCTGCAGCCAGGTTTCTGTAAGGCAAAACAAGTCAATGTGATTATCACAAATCAAGTCATTAACTAGTAGACTTTTAGAGGAAAGCGATCTTATGTTAAACAGACCGCATTTAATTGTTTTAACTTTTTCCCCAATTGGAGTTATTTTGATTTTAATTAGATTATCATGATTTACTCCTTTGGGAATCTTTGCTAATTTATTAGATTTTGGTCGTGGGCAAGACACTGTCTGGATGGAGTAAAGAGTGGGTAACAGTAGAGAAGCTGCAGAGATGTGTGTTAAACTACAACTCTGCTTCCTGGTCTGCACCCTGGGTGGTCAGGGTTTTGGAGGACTAATAAATGTGGCCAGATTCCTAGAAAGAAGAGCTGCACCATCCAAAGTGGGAAGGATGCCGTCTCTCCGAATCAGACCAGGCTTTCCCCAAAAGGATTGCCAATTATTAATGTAGCCCACGTTGTTTTCAGGACACCACCTAGACAACCAGCGGTTGAATGACGACATGCGGCTAAACATGTCATCACTGGTCAGATCAGGGAGGGGACCAGAGAAAATTACGGAGTCCGACATTTTTTTGGCAAACTTACACACCGAAGCAACACTAATTTTAGTGACCTCCGATCGGCGTAACCGGGTGTCATTACCACCAGCGTGAATAACAATCTTACTGTATTTAACCTTATCCTTAGCCAGTAGTTTCAGGTAGGATTTGATGTCGCCCGTTCTGGCCCCCGGCAAACATTTGACTATGGTCCCTGGTGTCTCTGGTGTCTCTAATGCCACGTTTCTGACTATGGAGCTGCCAATCACCAGAGTGGGCTTCTCAGTGGGTGTGTCACTGAGTGGGGAAAACCGGTTAGAAACGTGAACGGGTTGGTGGTGACCAGTGGGCAGAGATCCACGACTACGCTTTCTGCGTACAGTTACCCAATCGCCTGGCTGCTCAGGCACTTTTGGAGGACAGCTACGTGGGGGGCCTACTTTAACTCCTGGATGTTCAACAGCCTGAAGCCTGGATTCTAACTCTGACACCCTCGCCTCCAAAGCTACAAAAATACTACACTTATTACACATCCCATTATCACTAAAGGAGGCAGAGGAATAACTAAACATCTGACACAGAGAGCAGGAGAGAGGAGAGGAAGAAGGAAGAGTTGGAAAAGAGTCAAGGGAGGGAGAGAGAGAAGCCATAGCAATGCTAAGCTAGCGCTAGCCTAGGCTAGCTACTCCTTGCTATCAGAAATAAAACCGTGTGAAACTGACAAGTGCTCAGTAGAAAAGTGCAGCAGAAGGTGCTATGTTTTAAAGTAGTCAGTTAGAGTTACTTAGACACAGAGATATCACAGAGAAAATAACTTAACTTCAGATGGAGATCCTCTGAACAGCTGCACACTCAGTTAATCCAAACAGGAAGTGAACAGGTCCAAACAGGAAGCAGGAAGTGTAGTCAGTATCACACAAAGAATGATCAGATCTCTCCTTCACTAGTTTATTTTCAGCCCCTCGTCAACCTTTAACCTCACGTTGCCCATGTATAATAAAATAACTTTCATGCTTTTAGATGTTCTGATAAAGTATTGATTTGATCTAAAATGCCACAGCAATGATTTTAATCTAGAAATAAACTGATCCCATCAGGAAACTACACTGCAAAAAATCTAAATCTAGATAAGTCTTTTTTTTCTTAAAATAAGTGCATTTGTTCTTGAATTGAGTAGGTAAAAGAGCCATTTTGCCAATGGAACAAGACAATTTACACTTAAAATAAGAAAACACAATTTCATTGTCTTATTTCAGGTGCATTTTATCTAATTTTCTTATTTTAAGAGTAAAATTACTCATCCCATTGGCAAACTATCTCCTTTACCTACTCAAATTAAGGGTGAATACACTTAATTTAAGATATTTTTTACTTATTTTTAGATCGTTTTTGCAGTGTAGACTACACTGGAAAAAATTGAAATCTAGATAAGTCATTTTTTCTTAAAATAAGTACATTTGCTCTTGAATTGAGGAGATAAAAGAGACATTTTGCCAATAGAACAAGACAATTTACTCTAAAAATAAGAAAACACAATTGCATTGTCTTATTCAAAGTGCCTTTTATCTAAATATCTGATTTTAAGAGTAAAAATACTCATTCCACTGGCAAAATATCTCATTTAACTACTCAAATTAAGGGTAAATACACTTAATTTAACAAATTTTTACTTATTACTAGATCGTTTTTCCAGTGTACAAACTAAAAACCAATGATCCAACACTAGAAAAGGACATGGTCCCTCAAATTGTCACTCCTTAAAGGTGACTTAAAGGAGGATTTTCGCAAATTTTTTAAAAGACTCTCCACTTCAGTAAAAATGTGCGTGCAAGGGCATAAACCCATCTCTCCTCGTGCACGGTCTGTTTAAAAGTTGCTTTTCATCCCTTAGTCACTATATAGAGCAGGGACTCACCACAGACATACGCCTTAAAACGCGCATGTGCAGAAAAACATAGCAGACCGGATGAATATGTAGAACGGCCTTACATAAACATATCACCAGAATGATTGACAGTTAGGAGGACCACTTATTTAGATTATCCACCTGGATTAAATAAAAGATTGTCCTCTATACCTTCAATTTACAAATGAAACATATGTATTAGTACAGTTTGAAATAAGGAGTTTTGACTGCTGACTAACTGTCCAGTTGCTCCAGGATTGCTAAACACAAGGATGGTGACAATTAAAGCCCACATCCTGAATATGACCATAAAGATCAGCCTCCAGCTGTGGATCATTTCAGTGAGCGACAAACTCAGCAGTCTGTCCGATGTTTATGTGACCGCAACATTTAGAAAATGTCTTCCTGATCGTAAGTCATCGGCGTCGCCAGACCCCATTTACTGGGGCACGTGCCCCAGTATAAATGAGCTGTGCCCCAGTATAAATCTCATGAATATTTGCAACAGTATTACATTTTTTTAATGCATCAATTTAGATGATTCCAACGGGAGGAGACGTATATTTCTACTCAAATGCGCAGCAAGTGTGTTGGTAACTCCAAATTGAGGATGAATTAGCGCCCCCACGTCAGCGCATGTCACTGCATGAACTGCAGGTAAATTAACACGCTGCTCTCAGCTGTTTTGGATGGGACACTGTGCGGCCACGACGCATTTTTAGTTCTGGTAACGTTTCTTACCTGTCAGTTTTATTATTTTCCCAGTGAAACCACATGATTTATTTATAGGCTACTAACTGGAAATGACTGCATTGGTTTGTAGATGGATATCAGGAAATTCCTCACACGAAGCAGAGACAGGGAAGCAGTAAAACAAGATGAGAGAGGGAGGTAAGAGCCCGAGATGAATTAGTGATTTAAGCTAAGCAGTTACATTAGGGACGTTATAAGCAATATGATAGATATTTACATAATTATAAATTTGCGTTTTTTTATGTTTGCTGTAGAGAATGAGAATGAAGGTGCTGGAGTAGGAAAGGGAGGAGGAGGTGAGACTGACAGGCAAGAGGCAGGTGAAGGACAGGAGAGACAGGACCATGAAGGAGATGAGGATGCAACAACCAGCGTCCACAAACAAGAAGGGGACATTAGTGACTTAGGGGGAAAGCATGATGGTCCTACACAAGTGAAGTTGTCCCACCATCCCCAGGACAAATTTGGAGTAAAACAAACGTTCATTTAATTCAAAATGGTTTGAAAGCTTTTCCTGGTTAAAAAAGAAAGCCTTGTCATCAAGGATATGCAGTGTGTTTTCAACTTGCTCGATAACATCATGTTCCCCACACTAACGCAGATCATCCAGATCTCCATCACCATCCCAGTCTACAGCTGGAGGTGTGAAAGGTCATTCAGTGTGTTGAGAAGGATCCACACTTGGCTGAGGAGCACAATGGGACAAGATAGGCTCCATCATCTTGCTATTTTATCAGTTGAAAAGGAAGAACTTTCTAAGCTGAGTCACAAGTGATTGACCGCTTTGCAAAAATGATAAATAGGAGGTACACTTTAATGCTCAAAAAATAAAAGTAAACTTAGCTCAGGATGAGTTAAAATTTCCCCCGAACTAAAACTCTAAAACCTAGGAATTAATGATTACGTCAGAATGTGTATAAGGAAACTTTTTATTTGTCAAAGTTGTTGATGTCTTATTTTTTATAGCTGCAATGTTGAAAATGTTCATGTTTGTTAAAACAAATATGCTCTTATACTCATTAATATCTCAACTGGTAATTTTGGTAGGAATGTATCAGGGTGGGGCAGTGTGCTTGTCTGTATTTATGTATGGAAGGAGGGGCATATGCACTAGGGGGCCAGTGCCCCAGTAAAGCTTTGTGCCTAGCAACGCCCCTGTCGTAAGTCATTTTCTGGATTCTGGATTTTCATTATATGTCGTTTATAAATCTTCAAAACTGGAAGAAAAATATCCAGCTGAAGATAAAATCACTACACATAAGTTTCCCCTTTGATTTATTTACCTCAAATATATTCACTTTTTTAATATTTCAGTTTACTCAGCTTCCCTAACTCTTTTTTTTTTTCTGGGGTTTTCCATAGAAAATCTTTCTTCTATACATGGAATAAGAGGGATGTGTGAAGGAAACTTTACATTTCCTAAACAGTTTTGAGGAAACGGTGTAATAATGCCGTACATGTTTTGAAGGAAATAACTGGATGCGTCGGGCACATCTAATAAATCCCTTAAAGGCACAGACACTCTTTCATTAAGCACATCTGTTCAGTTGGAACAACAAAATAAAGTTCAGGGCCGCTTAGTGCAACTTTCTACAAGCTGAGACACAGATCTGTAACTGCTCTTTAACTGTTTCTTTTTATTAAATTTACCACACATTTAGCGGTTAATCAGGTAAATTTAGTCTTAATCGTTTAGGTCAGTGTAATCTGAAAGCAGCCCGTAGTCCTCGGTTACCTCTTTTCTCCGTTGTGACCACCAGAGCCTCGGCCGCGTCGCCCCAGCCCTTCCTGGTCTGTGCTGTGATGCGAAACACGTAGACAGATTCTGGTTTGAGGCTGGTGACGGTGTACTGGCGAGTGCTTGGGTTCAGGACGTCCACTGTGGCTGCGTTGCTGTTTGTAGAGTTCAGGTGGTAAGTGATCTGGTAGGCTGGGAAGAAGAAAAAGGCCAAGTAAGCTTAATATACATATTAGTCCTTCTTTTTTTCTTTAATAATAACAAGCTGCTGTCCCTGATGACACGATCCATTAGCATCTGTTGCCTGCCGCTTGATTTTATCTGACGGACTGTTAAATCAAAATCAAATTATCCAGCAGTTTTATAACAAATCAAAGTTTTACACAAAAATAATACGTTTCAAAGAGAGGTCAGCTCCGTTTTCAGCAATGTTGAACAATTATTTAAAAGAGCTAATTCCCCTTGTTGGATATCGGTTTTTCTGTTTAGTCAACAAAAGAATTATAACAAAAGAAAATATTTATAACATTATATTACCCACACTTTTAGGAAAAAAAACATTTCTAAGGAAAGGATTCTGAGTGTTACTAACCAAGGATGATGCCGTTCGGCTGCGCAGGCGACTGCCAAATCAGCCGGACAGACGTGGTCCGCACTTCAGGGAAGAGGATACCAACTGGAGGTCCTGGTACTGAAAGAGAACAGCAGACAACATATATATTTAAATATATGAATATTATGTGGAGGTGTGTAACTGTCAGCACAGAGACACAGATTTCTGGAACAATTTTGTGCTCTTTTATCATCATGGAAGATTTTCTGTCAGTTAAAGGTAAAAATCCAGTCATATTCAGAATTCAAACTTCTGAAACTACTTTAAATATTAAATTATTACATACTGTTTAATTAATGCTAAGTATTTTTAATTCAGAGTAATTTTCATGTGAATGTGCTTTACTTGAGGCATCCATGTTTGTCAAAGAACACTACTGCCACATACTGGTTTGTGACGTCACGGTGCGGTATCGGCTGTTGATCAAGTCCCAGTGCTGTATCTGGTGTTTGTCACAACGCGCTATTATCCAAGTCATCTTGAAAACATTCTTCTTCCAAATGTTGGCTACATATTACGGGTTTTTTCTCCGGCCACAAGTTCGATGGCAAATCCTCCCTCTTCAAGTTGGCGATCCAACGACCAACCCGTCCGTGGAGGATCAGGAATCAGAAAGGTGGAATAACTCTTTTTTTTTCACTTTTACCCGATGTATTCCAGCATCCAGCTGCCATGCACGTGGGCATTGTCAGTTTCACTATAGCTCTGGTGAATATCAATGGTGAAGTCCTCTGGAAATCTTCAATAATTGTTGTTGATTGCAGATGTGTCTAGTAGTTACCATTGATTTAGCTTGTAAAGCGGGGAGAATGGCGCTAGGCTTAACGCACCGTGACGTCACTGCTGGAAGATGGCAGGAGGGAGGGGTTAGTATATTTTGGCAAAAATGGCCGCTCCCGGACTCAGTGATCGCAAAGAAAATTATTGCTTTTTTTTTTTTACTGATTAACGCTAATTAAAATTTAATCGCCGTAAACATATTATTTCCTGGTATAGATAATGATCCATTGATTATTCCTGTAAAAACATTAATTGATTTAGCAAAATATGAGTTGCAAAATATAGAAAAAAAATCAGATAAGAGTTTTATTTCACATGTACGGAAGAGGATTAGGGCCACTAAAAAAAAATAAAAAATTAACTGATTTTTTTTTTTATTTTATTTCAGTATAGGATGGGAAAAAAGTCAGAATTCTGACTTATTTCTCAGAATTCTGAATTTTTTTATTATCAGAATTCAGTCAGAATTCTGAGATTAAAGTCAGAATTCTGAGATTAAAGTCAGAATTTTGACTTAATTTTGAGAAAAAAGTCAGAATTCTGACTTTTTTTCCCATACTATACTGAAATAAAATAAAAAAATCAGTTAATTTTTTTTTTTTTTTGTGGCCCTAATCCTCTTCCGTACACATGTATTTGGGTAAAAAAAAAAAAAAAACTAAAAAGTTCTGTTGTGTTTTTTTATCTTTGTGGTTTCAGGGGGAGAAAAAACAAACTGCCTGAATGAACAAAAATCAAACTCCAACGCCATTTTGCATAACTGTGAAACACAAGGCTATTCCATCATTACCATCATCCAAAGTCCTCTCCAGGATGGGCGGAGAGCTCGGCCGTCCGTCTCCGATCCGAGTGAAAGCCAGGACCTGAATCTCATACAGCACGTATTTCCCCAAACCGGTCAGCTGGACGCTGTGGGACGCGTTCCCCTCCACCATCCAGAAGCGGACCACACTGTCAGAGTCCTTCTCCTTATACATCACCTGATCCAGGGACAGAAGGGAGTTCAGAGGGGAGTGGAGTTGCAAATTAGCAAAGACAAAATGCCTCCTTGCTGCTCGGCACCCTGCTGGGAGAAAAAAGTCTTCTCTGCAAACTAATGAGATTTCGCTGCTCTTCCAGCAAACAAATAATTGGAGAGGATCTTCAGAACATATAAATCAGACCTTGTAGCCAAGAATGAGTCCGTTCCAGTCGGGCTCAGGGACTTCAGACCAACGCACTAAGATGCTGCTTGAGGTGGTGGCGAATGCAGACACGTTAGTGGGTCCACATGAAGGAACTGAAAGATAAGACATGGAGAAGGTGAAAAATACAATAAGCAGTTTCTTTTTTTTTTTTTTTTTTATAAAAGGCATTTAATTGTTTATATTCTCTTTCCAAAGCTTCTATAGATATGTTTGCATCCATCTAATTATATAACATATAATTTTTTTCACACAACTTTTTTCAAAGGATTTGTTTGCAGGTTTAGACAAAACACACAGGATTTCTAAATTTAAAAACAACAGTTTTAAATTCCTTATCATTCACCTTATTCTACACTGGAAAAAAATCGAAATCTAGATAAGTATTTTTTTCTTAAAATAAGTGCATTTGTTCTTGGATTGAGGGGGATTGAGCAATTTTGCCAATGGAACAAGACAATTTACACCCACCAATTGCATTGTCTTATTTTAAGTGCATATTATCTAAATAACTTATGTTAAGAGTATAAAATACTCAATCCATTGGCAATCTCATTTACCTACTCAAATTAAGGGTAAATACACTTAATTTAAGAAATTTTTGCTTATTTCTGGATTGTTTTTCCAGTGTATAGCTATTGTTTGTGGAAAAAGGCATAATTTGAGTCTAAATTTAAGGTGTTGTATGAAAAGAAGAGCACCTCAGTGCTAATTAAACACACAGCACTGGAAAAAAATTGACATCTAGATAAGTCATCTTTTCTTAAAATGATTGCATTTGTTCTTGGACTGAGGAGATAAAAGAGACAGTTTGCCAATGGAACAAGACAATTTACGCTTAAAATAAGAAAACACAACTGAATTGTCTTATTTCAAGAAAATATCATCTAATTATCTTATTTTAAAAGTAAATATACTCATTCCACACTGCAAAAATGATCTCAAAATGAGTAAAAATGTCTTAAATTAAGGGTATTTACCCTCAATTTGAGCAGTTAAATAAGATGATTTACCAATGGAATTAGTATTTTTACTCTTAAAATAAGACATCTAGATAAAATGCACTTGAAATAAGACAAAGCAATTGTTTTTTCTTATTTTAAGTGTAAATTGTCTTGTTCCATTGGCAAAGTGTCTCACTTAAATCCTTAATTCAAGAATAAATGCACTTATTTTAAGAAGAAATTACTTATTTAGATGTCATTTTTTTGCAGTGCATTGGCAAACTATCTCATTTACCGACTCAAATTAAGGGTAAATACACTTAATTTAAGAATTTTTACTTATTTCTAGATTTTTTTTCTAGTGAATAAGGTGTGAGCTGTAAGTTTATACCTATAATTTGAATACTGATGCTCTCCACAGATGCTAAAATGCAGTTATTCTGAGCAAACAGAATATCTTCCTTTCTAAAAAAGTCCACCATGATTCCTTATTCACACATTTTTGTTCGGCTTTATCGGACAGCGTGCGCACTCACCGGACTCCCTAGTTCTGCCTCTAACCGGCTGGCTCCACGGTCCCGTCCCAATGCCGTTGACAGCCTGGACCCTGACCTCGTACTCCGTCCACTCCTCCAGGTCTTCGATGGTGAACTCCCTCTCCAAACGATCTGTGATGATGTGGGTCAGCCCGCGGCCCTGGGAGCCGACGCGGTAGTACTGAATGCTGTATCCCACCTGCTCTGCGTTTCCATTGTATTCCCATTCAGGAAGGGGCTGCATTGCATAAATGAAAGATTAATGAAAGATGCATATAAAAGGAAAATACCTTCAACACCTTTGACACTAATTGAGCAATTATCTATTACAATTATAATAATCTACTGGTCAAAAAAAATGAGAAGCAGATAAAATAAATCAAGCTCTGTAAGTTAAAAATGGAGAAGCATTCTCTTCATTGTTAAAGCACCCAAGGTTATGGGTAATTATTGTGTCAGATCAAATATAATACCATAGATGATCATGACCTTTAAAAAGAAGTAAACCTCTGTTATTTTAAGGCTTGTTTTAACAATTTCTCAGCAGGGGAAGCATAAAACGTGCTGTTCGATGTCACTTACCATCCATCGCAGCCACAGGCTGGTCTCACTGGCTGTGCGCAGGGTGACATTGGCGGGGGCCATGTCAGGAGGAGCTGGAAGCGTCTGAATCTTCCTTGACGGCTGGCTGGGAGGACTGCTGCCAACTATGTTCACCTGCCGCATGCGGAATCTAACAACAAATCCTTGATTATTATGCAAATTGTGGAAAAATGCCTGACCAAGCATTGCTATGCAGCTCGCATGCTTTAACATGTGAGCTGGAGCTTCCAAACAGAGATCAAAGCCTCGGGTAGAAACACAATATAAATATGCTGAGAGGAAGCTTCTCCATGTTAATGCCTGAATATGCAACAGAATAAACTGTTGTGTTTATAGCTGAATATAAACTGGCAGTGCAGATATCTACTGTTGTTATTGGTCTTCAGGGACTGCCTCATTCAATTTGCTGTATCCAATATGATCAGGGAAAACAAATAGACTAGATCAAAATAAGCACCATTACCGAAGTAAAAATTAACTAAACAGTGCTTGGATTAAAATTAAAGGAAAAGAAAATAAGAGCTCCAGGGATAAGCTGAAAATATTTGAGTTGGAGGAGAGTACATCCACTTGAATGGGTGATTTTTGTCAAATTTTTTGCATAATCTTACAAAGAAGACAGCATGATGGACATATGCTTCATTTAAACAGTTGTTCAGGTACTGTTTCCCCTTAAAGTAACACAATCTCCTTTGATAAAGATAACTGCAATGAGAAAAAGGTTTTATGGTGCGATTTTGGAATAGGCATAATTTTCCTCCGATCCTATTCTAAGTAGAATTATCTGAATAAAGCAGAAGATCCAAACCACCTCAAAGCCTTAGGGAGTCAAAAGAGCACAGAAGAGGAAATACAAAATACGTATGCTCTGGTCTGCCCACACATTGCCTCTAATAACAGAGCATCTATATCAGGGGTTCTGTCCTGCACTAAAACATATAATGCAACCAATTTTGTTATTTATTTAATCATATTTAGTTACTTTAACACAACATTTTTATGTCCTACCCTGCTAATTAGGGATGTAACGATATTGACATTATCGCGCTATCGCGGTGGTAAACGTGTCTCGATATCGTCGTGGTTGGGTAACAATAATAAAAGGACAGGTGTCCGTTAAAAAGCAAGAGGATTAAACACAGTCCCGCGGAACAAATCATTGTTCACTACATAGACCATGATCCTTTGCCCTTCGTTGTCATACTAACCGTTCTTAAGCCAATAGGATTGCACGCGGATTGCACGCTGTCCTCACAAGCTCAAAGCAAGCTAGCATGGTCGACAGCGATAGTTGTAAGGATGAAAACAACAACCCCGAAGTTGAGATTGTGCCCGCCCCTGCAGCTTTTAAGTCAGATGTTTGGAAACATTTTGGTTTCGCGGTGTCAAAAAACGCAAAAGGAGAGAAGGTGGTGGACAGACAATGGACTATATGCAAGCACTTCCACAGTAAACTGCGATACAACACGGGAAACAAACGCAATATGCAAAGTCATCTGACGACTCATCATCCAGAAAAGCTTGCAGATTCTCTCACATAGAATGTCCTGTCTGTTCAAAAAACCCTGAAGGAGGCTTTTTTTTTTTCTTGAAATGTAGATCTTTTGATCTTTCTGATGAAAAATGTGAACATAAGCCAACTGATAGGTCAGTGTTTTAAAAAAAAAGCTTTTTGACTATTTTATTTAAGCTATGTTCCTAAATACCAGTTTTAAAAGGCTGCTTTTACTTGCCTTGCACATTTAAACCTGACTTGATATTTGTTTGCACTTAAAGGGAATTCCCTATTGTTTACAATTGTTCTGGTTGCTTCTTAACTTGAACATTATTCACAGAAGAATCAACAGAATATTGATGTTCCTGACTACAACTTGCGCTTTAAAAGCACTATGTGATCAGTGTTTTATGTTGTAATGATCCATAAATACAACAATAAATTGCCTGTTGACTGGCAAAAGCAGAAAAAATGTCTATTATTTTGCTATTATCATCACAAACACTGTCGTGAGCTATTTAACAGTACCGTGAGCAGTGTTGGGCACGTTACTTTGAAAAAGTAATTAGTTATAGTTACTAGTTACTTCTCCCAAAAAGTAACTGAGTTACTAACTGAGTTACTCCACAATAAAAGTAACTAGTTACTAGTAAAAGTAACTATTGCGTTACTTTTGCGTTTCTCGCCCCCGTAACCCTCACCACCCAGCCCCCACCTTCTCGCCGTGTGTTTCCAAAGCCAGCTGAATAGAGCGGACGACAAAGACAAGAACCTGCAGAGAGTTTAGCATTTATTGCAACTCAACGTAAATGACAACAGGGGGGAACGCCATGTGAAGTTTTTTAACAGGGCGTTCAGATCTGGTGAAATTAATAACTGGGGATGTCTAATTCTGAAATCCTGTGTGTTTGGGTTGTTATAGATACTGCAACATCTATCTATCTATCTATCTATCTATCTATCTATCTATCTATCTATCTAGATGTATACTCTGTGTGTGACATAAAATATGGATCTCCATCCCTGCCACAAAGGCCATCAAATAATGTTTAAAATAAAAAATACAGTAGGTTGAAAAGTCAGAGTATCCATCCATCCATCCATCCATCCATCCATCCATCCATCCATCCATCCATCCATCCATCCAGATTTCTCCCTTTCTCCATGTAGGCTATCATTTCTGGCTGTTGTCAGGTTCATTTGATCGTTCACGCTCTCCATAGTTCCCCTGTGGCGCGAGCACAGGGCGACTGTTGCGCGCCTTTAGCGAGCATGCGCATTTCCTGTCGCTTGCGCGGTGACTCTTGCCGCCTGCGCTGTGCGGAGATGCAGGGGAAACAGTATGTGATGGGGAAACGCAGCTCGACGTAACACCGGTATTTCCATGTGGAAAACGCTGTTTTGCTGCTGGAGTCATCCTCACTCTCCATCTTTCTGTGTGTGCTGTACGTTAACACCCGCCAGCAGAAACACCCACCTACCCAACTGACAGACGGAATCTCACTATACATCAGCCATTCTCATCCTCCCCTCTCTCATGACAAGGCGCGCACCTCTGGATGACCTAAAAAATAATCTTTAATATCTCTTAAACAAAAGTAGCACAAACAATATTTTTTTCTGCATAAATCTGCACTAACGTTGCACTAACCATTCAGTCTATTTGCAGAGTTTTTTGACGTGGGTGGGGTGTCAGCTTCACGCAGCTGCGCACGAGTCCTATCATGAAAAAAGGTTCATTGTGCGACCTGAGTAACGCGCAGTAACGGGGTGTATGCAATAGTAACTGCGTTATAGTTAAAGTCAAAGTAATTAGTTAGATTACTCGTTACTAAAACAAGGTAACAGCGTTAGTAACGCCGTTACTTTCAACGCCGTTAGTCCCATCACTGACCGTGAGCTTTTCCACAATATCGCAATAAATATCGTACCGTGAGATTTTGATATCGTTACATCCCTACTGCTAATATGAAACAATTGTATTAAAGTAACTAAATTTGATTAAATAAATGCCAAAAACGGTTGCAATATTTTTTTCAGTGTGATACCGTCCTGTAGCTTTTGCATGCATCCTGCTCCAACAGACCTGAAATAAAGAGCAAACGACCTCAGTAGGTTTAACAGAGGTCTGGTCATTAATGATTTACTTTTCTCAGGTGTGTTGCAGACGGGATGCATGCAAAAGCTCCAGGACAGTGGCACTCAAGGAACGATGCTGCCTACCCCTGGTCTATAATGAACTGTGACAGAAGGCAGAATCTGCTGGATGAATTGTGACAGGGTGTAACTTCAAATCAACTTCCAGATACTGTAGATGGCAGGACTGATGTACAATACAGGTGGACATTGACTAAACGCAGTGACAGGTTTAAGGGCACCTTAACTGGAGCGGTCCCACAGCATGATGTAGCCGCAGCCATGCAGACAGTTGGAACAGTGCAGCTTGGTTTGAAAACTTGTCTGGATTCCTTCAATGCTTCAAAGTAACTTATTGTAATGCTGCCAAAAAAAACCTTTGGGTTGTGCATTCACACCAGCTGAAAGGTGTGGATGTTACATAGTCTTTCTTTCATAGCGGAGAACCTCTCAGTCTCTTTGGAGGGAACAGCATAACTGGCATTGATGCTGTTTTTGTTTGGAGGAAGTAGGGATGCACGATATTGGGATTTTGCCCGATATCCGATATTTTAAAACTCATGTAGCCGATAACCGATATCGATACAGATGTTAAAGCTGGACAAAAATAAGTAGTCATTGAAAATAGCAGTTTTGTTCTCCATTTCTGACACTTTGAAAAATAATATACTCAAATATATTTTCATATGCTGATATCACATAGATTTTTTAAAACGCGGTATCGATCTATTTTACTTTCAAAATCTCGTGAAATTTCATCGTTCTGTTACAAACTCTTGTGATATTTTGCAAATTTTTGTGAGATTTTGTTAGTAAAATAGATCGATACCGCGTCAATATATCAACATATAAAAATATGGCAACATTTGGTGAATTTTCGGGGGATTTCGTAGCATAACGATGACATATAGCAATATTTCATTAGTAAAATAGATCGATACCGCGTCAATATATCAACATATGAAAATATGGCAAAATTTGGTGAATTTTCAGGGGATTTCGTAGCATAACGATGACATATAGCAATATTTCATCAGTAAAAGAGATTGACGTGGTGTTTTTAAATGGCAATATATCAGCATATGAAGATATTGGGATATTTTAATGTATCAATATTTTTTCCCTCGTCTTTAGAAGTTTTTAAGTCTGTAAAAAAGAAGTTTTTGAGGAAGAAGAAGAAGTAGTATTTTTTTTTTTTTTAGACTTTAGAAACTCAGAAGCTGATCAAATATCGGGTTAAATATCGGTGGGGTGGCCGATGTCCGATATTCAGTTTTAAGGCCGATACCGATAGAGGGCCGATTATATCGTGCATCCCTAGGAGGAAGTTTGAGCTTTTGTGGTTCCTGGACTGTTTCTAAACACCCAGACTAGACTGTTTGGATCGTATGTTTAAATTCAGGCTCAGACAGGCTGTCAACCTGCTGTGAGTCTATGTGTGCATGGCTGTTGCTGCATCTCTGTCTTGCTTTTTTTCAGATTAGTTGATTAGAAGTTGCACCAGGTTATCATTCTAGGGATGGAAGAGGCTGAACTGAAATGTCTGTTACCTGTAGAAGGTGTATGGGTTGAGACCAGGCACCTCCAGAGAGCGAGCCTCGGGTTCATTTGAGACCTGATGAACCAACACCCACTCTTCATTTTCTCCCACCACCCCAACCTGCAGGGAGTAGAGAGAGATTTCAAGGCCTCAGGCAGTCAATCAGATCTTTAGCGTCTCGCAAAACTATTCCTGAAACTTCTCTACAAGATTCTTTTAAATATTCTTCACCCAGATTCAGTAGTTTGTAGATCACATTGCTATGTTTTCACATTAAGGTGCTGAAAATGTTGCTGCTCTAAGTCAATAGGAATGGAAAGAGAGCAACTTTTGTCAGTTTTCAGGATTTGTTCATGTTTCCCAGATCATTTTCAGGTCTGGACTTTGACTGGACCGTTCTAGTAACCTGAATAACGTCTTATCTAAAACATTCCATTAGAGCTCTAGCTCTTTGGTTAGGATGTCGAAAGACCCTCAAACCTAGTCAGATATTTTTTTACAACCATCCATTTTACTGCCTTCCTTAATCATGACATTGTTTCATAATTAAAGCCAGCAACTCTTCCTTAAGACGTGACATTTTGCATGAAGGAGCAAAATTCCCAGCTTTTGTCTTATATGACCAGAAAACCACCTCCTTTATGTTTGCTTTGCCCTTTATATGGCTTTTGCCATACTTCATAGATCTGCTGGTGAAGATTCCCAGTCATCCAGGTCATAGAGATTCCAAAAAAAAAATAAAAAACAATCCACTGGACTTGGTTTCCAAGTTTGAAAAAGATTTACTTTCCATCCAGGAGGCTTTGCAGTTCGAAATAAATAGTATTTATTGTAGCCAAAAAACTTGTTTTGGATTAGAATACATGCAAATTAAAGCAGAAGAACGGGAAAGGGGAGTTGTTTTGGGTTTTTTGTTAGCCTGCAATACCTGATACTGGGCTATGCCTCTGAAAGGGGGGTCGTTAGGGGCAATTGTTAGCTTGGCTGCCCAGGACAGATGTTTTGTCCCCTGCATGGGGTTGGGGGGGTTGTAATGATAGTGGGAAGGAATCAAGTCTGACGCTGCATTGTAGGTTTTTTTAAGCTGAAACTTGACCACACCCCCTCTGTTTAAGGTTGGTTTTTCTTTCATAACATAAATGGCTTCCTTCACACCCCTTTCAAACCAAATGTCTTCTTTGTCCAAAATGTGAACATTCTGGTCCTCAAACAAGTGTCCATTGTCCTTAAGGTGCAAGTGGACAGCAGAGTCGTCAGTGGAGTATATAAAGCTTTGAAGTCATCGCTACTTCTGACATTTTGAATTGAAAAAGCTTCCTGGATGGGAAGAGAAACATCTTCAAACATGGAAACCAAGTCCAGTAGATTGTTTAATACTTTTTAGGAAATACTGCGTAGATCATTTCTATGGAGAATGGCAAAAAGCACATAAAGAGTTGTACATGAGTGCAGAAAACAACTCCAGGATACCTAAATGATTCCCGCTGATCGTTGCCAAGCCAGTCGCTTTAGATGAACGCCCATCTGCAGGTTGCTTTGCAGTCGTGCCATACTTCTATTTTAAGATGACGGCTACTGTGTCTTAACATTTAATATAAAGAAACTCTGAGACCTATGAAGCCTTTAAAGAAAAGCTCTATTTATAGTTTGGGTTAATTTCATTTATAGCACATTTTAAACAGCTAAGCTGTACTGACATAATTTAAACTAGCAGGGGACCATGAAAATATTATAAACACAGTAAAACCGAGCAAAAAGCATAAAAGTATTTACGATTTAGACTCATATAATACTGGATAGTAAAGTAGGTCTATGTTGACCATAACTGACTGCGACAAAATGGGTTCTTCCACTTTTGTTACGACTTTTATTCACTTTTTTTTTTTTCCCCCTTCCAACTGGGAATGTCTGGTAGAACCAGTCTTGGCTGCACATATGAGGAAGACAGATGGTCGGTTAAACTACATATCATTTAGACAACTCCCACTCTAGAAAGTGCAAAGCAAAAAAATGTAAACAGTAGTAAACTATGCATACATTTCCAACTCTAAAATTATGTGTTAATTTTCTATCAAACAAAACCCCAACAAGATTTATTGAGGTCTGTGGTTGTAATGTGACAAAATGTAAAAAGTGAAGGAGGTTAAAATACTTTTGGATGACAGTTTATATAATTAAGAATAGATTAAGGGTTCTGAGTTTATTCTTAAGTTGTTTTTGTCTCACCTGGGCTTCTACAAGCCAACGAGAAATAGAGGTTTTGCCATCATAGCCAGGTTTAAACTGCAGGTTGACAGAGCGTGGGCCGATGTTGGTTATAGCAATGTTGGTAGGATGGCCAGGAAGCTCTGCATGGAGGCAAAGACAAAGAAAACAGAGAGAAAAATCATTATTTTACAGCCTCCCACAGAGGGTGCCTCTGGTTTCCAAAACCCATTGACGACAGTGCCCTCTGGTGGCAGTACGAATACTACACACAAATGAATTTATCAGCCATTAATCCTACTTACCTCACATTTCCCAGTTCCAGTTTAGATTATAAAGGCAGTTTAGATTCTGAGAGGTGTCTTACACACATCACACTGACGGAGAAGAAGCAATAGATGCCCAGAAAGTGTTTGAAAGTTCACATACCTTCCCATTCAAGACAGAAAAAAATTATCTGCGAGTAAAATAAAATCAAATTTGACAAAACTAATTCTAAATATAACATAATAATTAAATGGAAATCATAACACTGAGTTTGAATCTAAATGTATATAATAATGTAAATCAACACTTTGAGGCAATCACTGAAATCAGGTGTTTCTTGTAATTTATTTGTTTGTTTTTTTCAGTTTTTTGTTATTTGAATTACCAGCGTGATTTGATCATTTTCTTTAATGGCCGATTAAGGCTAGGCTTAAAACTTTCCTTTTTGATAAAGCTTATAGTTAGAGTGGCTCAGGTTTTCCTGAGCTATCTCTATAGTTATGCTGCTATAGGCTTAGACTGCTGGAGGACATAGGGACCCCTTTTCATCATTCTGCTTCATTCTCTCTCTATTCTCATATTCTGCAGAATCTTTTAGTTCAATCTGTAACGTTCTGCTCTCTCTGCTTTTCCTCAGAGTAGCTTTGCCTCGTCTGTTCCTGTTTGGCTGTGACTCCATCCTGGAGAGAAACATCAGCTGTGCTGCTGCCATCAACACCTTTGTTTATAGATGCTGGAGATCGGCCTGTTTTCCAGTGCGGTCCTGTTTCTCTGACCGTGACTGGCTGGATGTGCTCTCTTCGTCCTCTGGCATGGGAGCTTTCTCGGAGCTCGTCTGCCTGGCTGTGTGTTTCCTGGACGGGGCCGCCTTTTACAGCTGCTTTTTGTATCTCTGCTTCCGTCTCCTTGAACCCCAGTCGGCCTTGGCAGATAGCCGCTCACACTGAGCCTGGTTCTGCTGGAGGTTTCTACCTGTTAAAAAGGAGTTTTTCCTCTCCACTGTCGCTACAAGCAAGCTTAGGGTGAGGGATTGTATTTGAGTCAATGAGTCGATGCAATCAACTGGTTTTCCTTAGATAGAAAACTTTGTATCAATTTGACTGTATGATCTGGTTGAACTGCAAAGTGCCCTTGAGATGACATGTGTTGGGAATTTAGCGCTATATAAATAAAATGAATTGAATTGAATATCTAACCTTCAAGCACGACTACAAGTGGAGATTTCTATCTGAAAGACCTGGAGGACTGATGCAGCTCTTCCTCCAAGGAGAAGAGCTATATATATATATATATATATATATATATATATATATATATATATATATATATATATATATATATATATATATGGGTCAAATTTTTTAGTTGTTTTTTTCTCTCAAAATAACATGCAATACATTTCAGCATGTAACCTTTTCGAACAAGAAATACAACAAACACTACAGGAACGATGGCAGTATCCACTTTATAAACAATTACTTCATTGACGTTTCACAGTGAATTACTTTCTATTTACCCTTCCTCTTTCCTTACTTTAGACACAATGTCATTGTCTAATATCTTTGAGTCATTTTGGTAAACTGAAGGTTAAATTCACAACGCTAGTTTCATCAGCTGAAGCCGCCATGTTCTTTAGACTGAACTGTCGCGCTTCTCGTTGCGTCACACCTCAACCCGCCTCAAAGCCAACGCTGATTGGACGTTCGTTTGGTGAACGGCTCCAAATTTTCTTCAACGGAGAGTCTCCAGACTGATTAGCGAGTGAAAACTTGAAAGCTTGCGAGATCAGGATGGTCTCACGAGGCTAGGAAAACAGGCGTATCCTATTGGTGTTGATGAACAAGCCCAGGCAAGACCCGACTTTGTAGTCAGTAGGTGGGGTCACAACACTTGTGTTTCTCTCGCTCTGTCACTCGTTTTTTTTTTTTTTTTTTTTTTACTTAGTAACTAAACCAAACATTGAAAAAGTATCGGAGTAAAAGTATGCAATAAAGTTCGTAAATGTAGTGAAATAAAAGTGAAAGTACTCAAAAAACTTATACTCTTGGAAAGTATAGAGTACTCCAAAATATACTTAAGTACAGCAGTGAAGTATTTTTACTTAGTTACTATGCAACACTGGTTCTGTGTCAGATAACTTATCAGATGTTAAAGGTTCCCCTCTCCCTTCTGTAAATTTGCATGCTATTGAGGGCGGCTGAGGTGCTTTTTTTTCCTTTTCCACATGTTAACAAGAAAATAATAAAGACCTCAAACCTTGCATTTCTGCTGTTTGCCCCTTGAGCTGACTGAACAATTGAAATAAATAATTGTTGGCTAATAAAGGGAGGGCAAACACATCTGGAAGATGAACCCTTCTGCACATCTGTCTTCATTACTGTTTGTTGTTTTATCTCCAGACAGGTTTTATTTCAACTCAAACTAATTTCTCCTATTTTCATGGCTCCTAGTTTTCCTCTAGAGAAATAAAACATGTACACCACCAATACAAAGCATGCCAAAGCAGAATTAAGCTTATTTGAATTGTACAGGAAGACGCTGATGTCAAACAGTGGCGTACTGAAGTAGCGATATTAAAAAGATAATCACTCCCATTGGCACACTTAGCTATTTTTTTTCCCAAGCTTGCTCCAATGCGAGTATATCTAGTCCTAATGAAATGCAGATTATATGTCTTGTGGTAAAATTACCACCTCGAAAATTATTTGCATGACGAATTATCAAGACTGCTTTTAGCTCGATCGTTATGGTACAGTTGCAGGCACATAGGCGTTTTCTTTATGCACATACAATGGGGGTAATTGCCATTCTGGGGACTAAAACTGCTGCACCGAAGTCGGCTCTCAATATAACAGCCTGTCATTTCCAACTTTTCACAGATGTACAGCGTCTGAATGCAGCTCCAGTAATTGCCGTTGGCATTGTGTTCCTGTTTCAAGAGTTTGCAAATATGAAACCATTAAAGACTGTAATTGCCCCTAATGCTCCCATGAGAGCTAATATTTTTGTGCCAGTCTTGCATGTGTGTGTGTGGATAGAAAAATAATTATAATGATTTGGTTCTTATTTTTTTTGGTTCTGTCCCAAATGGGGGTGACAGGAGTCAGATTTGGCTGTATCTGGTGCCAGGATGAATGGACCCTTTCACCTGTTCCAGCAGCAAATCTGCAACGAAAGTGAACTTGATGTTCCGTCTATTGATTAAAATAAATAAGCCTCTATGTCTATGAATCAGTTGAGCCTGGTCAGGATTTATGAGTGAGATCTGAACCGCTGTAGAACAATAAAATGTTCATAAAGTGACTTCAACATTACTCAGTTTTATCATGCATTGTAATATTTTCCTGCAACAGCTTGTATTTACGAGCGCCAAATAAGTCATGTCCTCGTATTTATAAGAGGTCATTGTTACCAGGGGTATGCCTGTAAATGCAGCTGTTTAATCTTCACTAAAGTGCTCTCTGCAAATACTGAGACTTTAAAACTGATGACAAGTGGTCAGTATGATTCGGTTTACAATCCTGCAAAGGTTAGTCAGTAAAATGGGCCATAAAGTCATTGTGACATCACTCTTTCACTGGAAAAAATTTAAATCTATATAAGTCATTTTTTCTTAAAATAAGTGAATTTGTTCTTGAATTGAGGAGGTAAAAGAGACATTTGCCAATGGAACAAGACAATGTACACTTAAAATAAGAAAACACAATTGCATTGGCTTATTTCAAGTGCCTTTTATCTAAATATCTAATTTTAAGAGTAAAAATACTAATTCCATTGGCAAATGATCTCATTTACCTACTCAAATTAAGGTTAAATACACTTAATTTAAGAACTTTTTTAATTATTTCTAGGTCGTTTTTCCAGTGCACTGGAAAAAATCAAAATCTAGATAAGTAATTTTTTCTTAAAATAAGTGCATTTTTTCTTGAATTGAGGAGGTAAAAGAGACATTTGCCAATGGAACAAGACAATGTACACTTAAAATAAGAAAACACAATTGCATTGGCTTATTTCAAGTGCCTTTTATCTAAATATCTAATTTTAAGAGTAAAAATACTAATTCCATTGGCAAATGATCTCATTTACCTACTCAAATTAAGGTTAAATACACTTAATTTAAGAACTTTTTTAATTATTTCTAGGTCGTTTTTCCAGTGCACTGGAAAAAAATCAAAATCTAGATAAGTAATTTTTTCTTAAAATAAGTGCATTTTTTCTTGAATTGAGGAGGTAAAAGAGACATTTGCCAATGGAACAAGACAATGTACACTTAAAATAAGAAAACACAATTGCATTGGCTTATTTCAAGTGCCTTTTATCTAAATATCTAATTTTAAGAGTAAAAATACTAATTCCATTGGCAAATGATCTCATTTACCTACTCAAATTAAGGTTAAATACACTTAATTTAAGAACTTTTTTAATTATTTCTAGGTCGTTTTTCCAGTGCACTGGAAAAAATCAAAATCTAGATAAGTAATTTTTTCTTAAAATAAGTGCATTTTTTCTTTAATTGAGGAGGTAAAAGAGACATTTGCCAATGGAACAAGACAATGTACACTTAAAATAAGAAAACACAATTGCATTGGCTTATTTCAAGTGCCTTTTATCTAAATATCTAATTTTAAGAGTAAAAATACTAATTCCATTGGCAAATGATCTCATTTACCTACTCAAATTAAGGTTAAATACACTTAATTTAAGAACTTTTTTAATTATTTCTAGGTCGTTTTTCCAGTGCACTGGAAAAAATCAAAATCTAGATAAGTAATTTTTTCTTAAAATAAGTGCATTTTTTCTTGAATTGAGGAGGTAAAAGAGACATTTGCCAATGGAACAAGACAATTTACAATTAAATTAAGAAAACACAAATGCATTGTCTTATTTCAAATGCATATATCTAATTATCTTATTTTTAAGAGTAAAAATACTCATTCCATTGGCAAACTTTCTGATTTACTTCCTCAAATTAAGGGTGAATACACTTAATTTAAGAAATGTTTACTTATTTCTAGATCATTTTTCCAGTGTGTTGTCTTAGACCATCAACATAAGTAAAAAGGAAAACAAAAACATGCTCGCTTTATTTCTGTGAGTAATGCTATAAAATAATGAGGTAAAATAAATGGATTTGATGTGATGGAAACAGAGTGGCACAAACCTATGAGTTGGTTGTAGTTGGAACAAACCCCAACTGTACTATAAGACTTTTTATATTGACCTGGAATAAGATCTTAGATGGAGAGTGGTAGCCAACTGCTGCAGAGAAATTGCCCTTAATAACCACATCATCAGTGTCTTCAGCTCTAAAAAATGACAAGCTTTAAAGGGAGTTGGTCAGAAGTAGAGAGGTGAGCCTCAGAGGAAGGCATCAGCAATTACCTGAGAGACTCAGAGTCATTTTAAAGTGAGAAAGAATATTTACAAATGGAAAACATCTGGGAGAGTCACCAGTGTTTTCAGGAGTGTATGTCGCAGAAAACTCACCTCAAAACATAAACGTTGCAATGCTAAGAAAAATTGGATTTGAACCCAGAGCGCTTAATCTTCATGTAAACAGACACGGTCAGCATTTTTAATTATGATAATAAGATATTAAAAAATATAATAAAATATGGTTTTTTTTCCCCTTTTCTCTCAAGAAGGAATACAGCAGCGTGGCTTAGGGCTGGAAAGTTTAGTCCCTATAAGCATAAATGCCAAAACAATCCTATCAGATCACAGCAAGACTGGAAAAAAATTAAATCTAGATAACTTATTTTTTCTTAAAGTAAGTGCATTTGTATTTGGATTGAGGAGGTAAAGGAGACATTTTGCCAATGGAACAAGACAGTTTACATTTAAAATAAGAAAACACAATTGCTTTGTCTTATTTCAAGTGAATATTATCTAATTATCTTACTTTAAGAGTAAACATGCTCATTCCATTTGCAAACTATCTCATTTACCTGCTCAAATTAAGGCAAAATACACTTAATTTAAGACATTTTTTTACTTATTTCTAGATCGTTTTTCCAGTGAAAACAAAAAGGGTTGGTCCTCCTCATGCATGGTGGAGAGAGATTCATTATTTGAGTTTACCAATGTTATTTTCTTATAAATAAAGCCATAATTTAGAAAGTAACGTATGTAATTTTCAGGCCCTGATTTGTGTGCATTGGTCTCCAGTTAGTTTTCCTCTTAGCGCCCAGGTTTGATGCGGGTTGTGTTTTCTCTAGTTTTGGATTTGCTAAAATTGATTAATTAAAGGGTTTGTTATCTCTTTTATTCGTTAAACTCTGCCTTAATTGTTTGAATGGATTTTGCTTGACAATACCGTTAAGGTCTTACTCATCCCTGAAGGTCGTGCAGCTTTTCCTACCATACTTTCTTTTGCTACATTCTACATTTAATGGATCTATATAATACAAAGTTTTGACAAATATTTCAACAAAACTTTCTATATTCCCAACCCAAGTATTTGCTTAATTTGAGATATGAAATGCTTTTCAGGTCAATATTCAACAGAGATTGATCCTCTTTTTGGACTGTAATGACCATGGAAAATTACCAGCAGAAACACTTCTATCACTGTTGGTTCTTGGTTGGATATGGATTGCAACGTTGGACAAACATAAGCCAACATTGATACATCAGAAGCAAAACATTAATTTGTGTTGGCTAGTAACCAATAACCAACATCTGCTCAACGTTAAAAGCTGACGTTAAATTAAGGAAAAATTTAAAGGAAATATCCGGTCATATTCATAATTCAAACTTCTGAAACTACTTTAAATGTTAAATAATTACATACTGTTCAATAAATTATAAGTGTTTTTAATTCAGAGTAATTTTCATCTGAATGTGCTTTACTGGAGGCATCCTTGTTTGTCAAAGAACACTACTGCCACCTACTGGTTAATGACGTCACGGTGCGGTATCGGCTGTTAATCAAGTCCCAGTGCTGTATCTGGTGTTTGTCACAACGCGCTATTATCCAAGTCATCTTGAAAACATTCTTCTTCCAAATGTTGGCTACATATTACGTGTTTTTTCTCTGGCCAGAAGTTCGATGGCAAATCCTCCCTCTTCAAGTTGGCGATCCAACGACCAACCCGTCCGTGGAGGATCAGGAATCAGAAAGGTGGAATAACTCTTTTTTTTTCACTTTTACCCGATGTATTCCAGCATCCAGCTGCCATGCACGTGGGAATTGTCAGTTTCACTATAGCTCTGGTGAATTTCAATGGTGAAGTCCTCTGGAAATCTTCAATAATTGTTGTTGATTGCAGATGTGTCTAGTAGTTCCCATTGATTTAGCTTGTAAAGCGGGGAGAATGGCGCTAGGCTTAACGCACCGTGACGTCACTGCTGGAAGATGGCAGGAGGGAGGGGTTACTATATTTGGTGCACAAATGGCCGCTCCCAGTCTGGTGATCGTGACGAAAATTATTTTTTTTATTTTTTCACTCATTAACGCAAAATTCATTCACGGGGCTGCTCAGTGGCGCAGTGGGTAGCACTGCTGCCTTGCAGCAAGAAGGTTCTGGGTTCGATTCTTTCTGCATGGAGTCTGCATGTTCTCCCTGAGCATGTGTGGGTTCTCTCCGGGTACTCCGGCTTCCTCCCACAGTCCAAAAACATGACTGTTAGGTTAATTGGCTTTTCTAGATTCTCCTTAGGTGTGAGTGTGTGCGTCAATGGTTGTATGTCCTGTTTGTCTCTGTGTTGCCCTGCGATGGACTGGCGACCTGTCCAGGGTGGACCCCGCCTCTCGCCCATTGACAGCTGGAGACAGACACCAGCACCCCTCGCGACAAGCGCGTCAGATAATGGATGGATGGATAACGCAAAATTCATTAAATCACTGCAAACGTATTAGTTTTAGGTATCATTCCTTGCTGACCGGACTTTTCCTTTAAGCTTTGCATCATAATCCAATGGTTTTCCAAGGTTAGGGTACAACTGAGTTCAACGTTACATCAATTTCAAGTGCCTTCTGGGTAATGAGGGTCTGATCTGTCAGTGAATGAGTAATGTGACCAGTCTGAGTTTCCTAACAAAACTAACAAACTAAAATGACCTTTAACTTACCCGTTATATTTCAGCCGTGTTTCTTTTAGGAGCACCAAACCTAGAAGCTACAGGTCTAGCCCCCCTAGTGGCTAAAAGGTTAAACAGTGTTGATTTAAGACTTTTCTGTATGTTTTACCATCAGGTTTACCAGTGGCTAAAAGAGCAGTGAGTGTTTGCAGGAGGAAGTAATGTTAAAATATCAGAAAGTACATTTTTGGTTTGGTTACTGACCTGGTGGGACTCCGGAGGAGATAGTAGAGGAGGACATCTGGCCCTGGCCTTTGGAGGTCATTCCTGCCACTTCGATAGTGTATGTGGTGAGAGCGGTGAGGCCTGTGACCCTGTACTCCAGGGTGACATTCGGCAGATAGTGGGTGACTCTGGTGTTGGTCCGGTTGAACTCCTCCCATGAAATGCGGTAACCTGACATAGGAGCAGAGACGGGTTAAACGACGTCGCATTCCTTGCTCAGAAAACTCTGCAGTGGTTTTACAACCCTCCCCCCCCTCAGCTCGCTGCTGTAGGGAAAGCTAACAGAAATATTAAATTAACTTCATTAAAAATTGAATATAGCAAATTTAATCAGCAAGTGATTATACCTCCTTGCACTCACACATCCTCCGCACAGCCTCGCACACACACTCACCCTCTCAAAGTTAATGTAATTTGCTCCTTGGCCAGCAGCTCTTTTCATGTGATTGCATAAAGCATTAAAGCAGCATTTCTTGCCAAATCAGTAATCTCACATGGCATGTCTGTGTTTGTCTCCTGGGATTATGCGGCACATTAAATATATCTTAGAAAAACACTGAAATACATGTTGTAGATTCTTAAAATATGTAAATAAAACTGTTATTCTTTATCGCTGCTCGTTAAACCGAGTTCTAAAACATCATACTGAATGAATCTAGGAATTAATTTAACAACATCCCATTCTATTGAACTTTGTGCATGTTTTTCTATAATGTAAATTACAACTTCAAATATATCTCTTTAGTATTTTGTGTAAATGACCAATAGAGCAGTCCATGATTGTAAAAGAGAAGAAAAAAATAGATGATTTAATTTATTTTATGAATAATAATCTATGAAGTTTGAGACTTTTTTTGTATGGAGTCAGTTTCTCTGCTGGAAAGTGAACCTTTGACAAAGTTTCAAGTTTTTCTCAGCCTCTTATTGTTTTTTTCTTCATACAAACTGTCTGTTTAGATTAAAATTCATTTCTTGCTAAAAATCGTTCATATTTTTTAGGTTGATCTGCACTGCAAAAAATTAAAATCTAATTTTTCTTTCTTGAAATAAGTGATTTTTTTTTTCTTGATTTGAGGAGTTGAAAAAATTTGCTAATGGAACAAGACAATTTACATAAAAAATAAAATAAAATAAAAACTACTGTATTGTCGTATTTCAAGTGCATATCATCTAATAATCTTATTTATAAAAAAAAAATAAGATTAAAAAAAGCAGATTATTTTATTTACCTGCTTAAATTAAGAATAAATACATTTAATTAAAGAAATTTGTACTTATTTCTAGATTGTTTTTGCAGTGTGAACAGAGCTCTGCACTGGAAAAACGATCTAAAAATAAGTAAAAATTTCTTAAATGAAGCGTATTTAACATTAATTTGAGCAGGAAAATGAGATAGTTTGCCAATAGAATGAGCATTTTACTCTTAAAATAAGAAAATTAGAAAATATGCACTTGAAATAAGACAATGCAATTGTTTTTTCTTATTTTAAGTGGAAATTGTCTTGTTCCATTGGCAAAATGTCTCTCTTACCTCCTCAATCCAAGAACAAATGCACTTATTTTAAGAAAAAAATGACTTATCTAGATTTAGATTTTTTCCAGTGTGTGGGATGTTTTGACGGATGTGATGGTATTCCATAACCTTTTCCTGATTCAAACCTTTTTCTCTGAGACCTTCATGTAACAGCTGGATCTGAGTTTACATTGATGGAATCTATTTCGCAATCAAGCACTTTCATTTTGGCCTCCTGGGGCCAAATGATTGAAAAATGCTTGCTAAAGTGTCCTCTGCAGCAGCGAGGAGGCTCTATGTGCCCTGGATATTTCAAAAAATCTGTGCACGTGAATGACATCAGGAGTCAAACTCTACATTGGATGAGCCTACTGAATGCAGATTGGTTATATTTGTTGCTTATATTTGTGCATTCAGCCATTAGACTTTGATAACCTATGTTAATATATACAGCCTAGCAATGGACCTGATGTGCTGCCTTGATGATATCCACACATACACACACATGCTCATAACGGCCTTAAGAGAGCAAGATTCTTAAACAAATAGCTGCCTTTAGTGAACTATTTTGAGTTTCCATGCCATGATTATTTATTTTCTGCTGTAGAGATGCAATGTAAATCTAAGTAAGTCGTTTCTTTCTTAAAATAAGTGCATTTTTTTAAATAGAGCAGGTGGATAAGACACTTTGCAAATGGAATAATTTGCATTTAAAATAAGAAAGAAAACACAACTCAAGTCACTTATTTAAGTGCAAAATATCTAATCGCTTATTTTAAGGGTAAAAGGGTCATTCCATTTGCAAATTATCTTATTTTCATACTCAAATTAAGGTAAAATACACTTAATTAAGGCATTTTTAATACTTTTTGCAGTGTGATTCCAAATCTTGCTGAAGGATCTTGCAAAAATAGCAGAGAAGCACCTGATAGAAGTGTAGAAAATCTAGACTTTTCTACACCTTCTCATCTTCTCCAGTTTAAGGAGAAGCCATATGTGACAAAGTGGTATGAATCATGCAGTGTAAATTCAGACAAAGTCGACACACTGGAAAAAATCGAAATCTAGACAAGTAATTTTTTCTTAAAAGAAGTGCATTTGTTCTTGAATTGAGGAGGTAAGTGAGATACGTTGCCAATGGAATAAGACAATTTACATTTAAAATAAGAAAACACAATTGCATTGTCTTATTTCAAGTGCATTTTATCCTAATTTTTAGAGTAAAAATACTCATTCCATTGGCAAATCATCTAATTTACCTACTCAAATTAAGAGTAAATCAATTAATTTAAGACATTTTTGCTCATTTTTAGATAGTTTTTCCAGTGCAATACACTGGAAAAAATTGAAATCTACATACGTAATTTTTTCTTAAAATAAGTGCATTTGCTCTTGAATTGAGGAGGTAAAAGACACATTTTGCCAATGGTGTTGGGAGCTGGAGAAATACACCTTTTCTCCAGCAGAGTTCACCCTGGATCCTCCCTGCTGAGCTGCTCTGCACACCTGCAGCTGATGATCTCATCTGGAGGACCTGGACTACTTAAGCTGCCTTCAGACCTTGCCTCGACGCCGCAGTGTCTTAATCAGTTGGTTAGCACTTAAGCCATAGATCCCTAGTGAACCAAGTCTCCTTTGAGTCCAACCTGGATTCTAACCCTTTTGTCTCTGCTTCCAGGTTTCCTGTTCTTTCTCCTATGAAGCTCTGGAAGAGCTTAACCTGCCGAGCAGCCCTCCGAGCCAAACCTGAAGACTCACTCTCTGGATTTCCTAGCAGCTCTGGATACCGAGCTGGAAACACAAGCCAAGGTCAAAACAGCCTTTAGAAGTAAGACGCTGAAAGAGCTTAAGGACTCTGCCAACCCAAGCTTTCTCCGGACCCAACAGTTCCGCTCCCAAAGCCTCCTCTACGTTCATCAAGACGCCAGTGAACCGGTCCCAGCCCAGAACCATTGCATCAGTCTTTATTATATGTGTGAATTTGCCAATAAACTCTGTTAAACTTTCCATCCGTGTCGTCAGTGTTCTGCATATTGGGCCTCCCTGATACCCATCATGACAAATGGAACAAGACAATTTACTCTAAAAATAAGAAAACACAATTGCATTGTCTTATTTCAAGTGCATTTTATCTAAATATCTTATTTTAAGAGTAAAAATACTCATTCCTCTGGCAAAATATCTCATTTAACTACTCAAATTAAGGGTAAATACACTTAATTTAACACATTTTTACTTCTTGCTAGATCGTTTTTCCAGTGTATGATTAAATCCAGGGCCAGAGGGTAACGGTCACTTTCTAGCTAGTTATTTCTAATTTTTGTAAGTAGTGCTGCCTATGAGGCCCAGTTAGACGCACTTTTTCCACAGACAAATTAGCTCGACTTAAAGAAGCAATAATGGCTAGAGACCTAAACATTTCTGTCCGACATCATGTGAACGGAGACCTATGTGATTAGATTGCAAAGAGTTAATATATGTTTTATTTTTATTAATCTTTGTAAGGAAATACACTGAAACTAAACAGTTTTTTAACGACTATCATCATGTTGTTCATCATGTTGGTATCAAATAACAGATGTTGCAGCTAGATTGTTTTTAAAAGCTTCAGCTATAAATAAAACTGGATGATTATGATCTTTAAAACAGAATAAGTTTAACATGAATTGCTCTTCCGTTTAAGATAAAAGGGAATCTCTTTTTGTAATTTCCTGCACGATGCTTCTCAGGTTGATGTTAGAAACCTGCAACTTTTATTGTAAAAAAATGAAAATCTAAGTAAGTCAATTTTTCTTAAAATAAGTGCACTTTTCTTGAATTAAGCAGACAAGTGCACTGGAAAAAAATCTAATCTAAAGAAGTCATTTTTTCTTAAAATAATAGCGTTTTTTCTTGAATTGAGGATGTAAGTGGGACACTTTGCCAATTGAACAATACGATTGACATTTAAAATAAGAAACAATTATTAAATTCATATTAACATTTTCTTATTTCAAGTGCATATTATCTAATTATCTTATTTGAAGAGTAAAAGTATTCTTTCCATTGTCAAATCATCTTTTTTACATGTTCATATATAATATACTAAAATAAACAATAGATAAACTTAATTAAAGAAATGTTGACTTATTACTAGATCGGTTTTGAAGTGTGGGATACTTTGCCAATGGAACAAGACATTTTACATTTAAAATAAGAAAAAACAAATACAGTGTCTTATTTCAAGTGCAAATTATCTAATTATCATATTTTAAGGGTAAAAAGGCTAATTCCACACTGCAAAAACGAGCTAGAAATAAGTTCAAATTTCTTAAATGAAGTGTATTCACCCTTAATATGAGTAGGTAAATTAGATAATTTGCCAATGGAATGAGTATTTTTACTCTTAAAATAACATAATTAGACAATATGCACTCGAAATAAGACAATGCAATTGTGTTTTCTTATTTTAAGTGTAAATTGTCTTGCTCCATTGGCAAAATGTGTCTTTTACCTCCTCAATCCAAGAACAAATGCACTTATTTTAAGAAAAAATGACTTATCTAGATTTCGATTTTTTTCCAGTGCATTGTACAGTGAGAAGTTCAGTATTTCTACACACATTTATAATGCAGTAGAGATACTACAACTATTTAAGATTATTCACCACTCTTTCATACTCCCAAAACTTTATCTGTGCCTTTCTGAAAACAGACAGCTCATACTCTCAGTCCCTTTGGTATTAGTAATGCCTCATAGATTCCTCTGTCGACTCAGTGTGGCTTTCACAAAAGATTTTTGTAAAAGTCGTGTTTACTGCAGCTATCCTTTTTGCGGTAGATTTGTTGTGACTGAGCAGAAGAGACGAGAACACTTTTTGTTTTGCAGAAACCTGTTTTGAAATATATTTTCCGACAATCGTCTCAGGGGAGTAAAGGTATGTTTTCATCCTAGCTTTGGAAGTTGTAGGCGTATTGCTCAAATAGAAGAAACAACAGGTATTACTATGGCTCCCATCTGCTTAAAACAATAAATGAGGTCAAGCTGCCGCAGTTCCGTCTCCGGGCTGGATCTTATTATTGGCCCCATTCTGCAAAACTCCGACAGTTATCATGAAATAGTCATTTTTTTCTCTTCTTTTTTTGCTTTATTTCCAGAAAGAAAAGCTGCAAAGTTACCTGTTAGAACTCCATTCTTCTCACCAGGCTCGCTCCAGCTGACTTTAAGAGAAGTATCCAGGATCTCTGTAAAGCTCAGGTGACCTACAGCAGCGGGGGCTTGATAGAGAAAGTGCAAAATAATGAACACTGCTAAGGGCAAATCATTTATTCCACTATTTACTTTTTAAAAACAACCCATTTAGATTTTAAAGGTAACATCAAACTAAGCAACAGCAAACAGATGAGTTTTTTAAAGCCAAACTATTAAGGAAGTCATGTCCCAATTATAAAGATGCTGGATGGATGCAGAAAACAGTTATTCATTAGCATCCCTGCAACTAGCTTCTGCATGAATAATAGATCTTGCCCAAAGGATGTTGTTGCTGTGAGATGCATGATTCCTCTCGCCAGCATGGCAGAGTGAGATGAGCGTGGAGGAAAAAAAAATAAATGACTTACTGTCCTCATGAGTCTTCAGAGCCCAAGGTGGGCTGCGGGGGCCGTCTCCAGGTGTAGTGAAGCACAACACCGAGGTGAAATACTCGGTGAACTTCTTCAGGCCTGTCACGTATCCCACATGGACGCTGTCCTGGAAGTTAGGTCGTACTGTTACCATGGAAACGTCCTCTTCTTTGCCAGGTTCCCAGGCCAACAACTATTAAAAAAAAGAAAAAGTCAGGGGAAGGACAATAGAAGAGAAAATTACTCCGACGACCAGAGACTCTGAGGATCAGTTGGTTTGGTATGTTTTTAGAAAAATGCCCCAATGAGGTTTGGACTTAAGGAGAAAGCAGGAACAGCTTGATTTGGCTCAAGAGAGATGTGGTACCACGTCTTGATGAAAGATTGCTGCACAAAGTACATGGACAAGCGGGAATTAGTTAGACCCATTAGCTACTGAAGTAATGAGTCCCAGTGGTCAATGCCTTTTTTTTTGGGTGAGGAAACTTTTAATGAAGGAAGGAAATTGAGAGTTGGTGCTTATCCTTTCACCACCCTTGTGTCTGAAACGGAGTATTCCTCTGTGCCTCCTTAATCATTCCACCCTCCAAACTTTACTTAACCTTTAAAGCCCCAAGATAAACTTATTTTTTTTTTTATTATTATTTAATGGTCTAACACATAAAATGAATAAAAATTTTTAGCAATGCTGTGATAATTGTAAACAAAACAGCTTTTTACCATTTTATAAGAATTGTGTTAAACATTTTAATCAACATATTTACAACACATTTTTACGGAAGAGGATTAGGGCCAGTGGAAAAAAAAAAGTTAACTGATTATTAAATTTTATTTCAGTTTAACATGGGAAAAAAGTCAGAATTCTGACTTTTTTCTCAGAATTCTGACTTTAATCTCAGAATTCTGACTTCAATCTCAGAATTCTGACTGAATTCTGACAATAAAAAAGTCAGAATTCTGAGATTAAAGTCAGAATTCAGAGAAAAATGTCAAAATTCTGAGAAAAAAGGCAGAATTCTGAGATTAAAGTCAGAATTCTGAGAAAAAAGTCAGAATTCTGACTTTAATCTCAGAATTCTGACTTCAATCTCAGAATTCTGACTAAATTCTGACAAATAAAAAAAGTCAGAATTCAGAGAAAAAAGTCAGAATTCGGAGATTAAAGTCAGAATTCTGACTTTTTTCCCATGTTAAACTGAAATAAAATGTAAAAATCATTTAACTTTTTTTTTTTTTTCAGTGGCCCTAATCCTCTTCTGTACATTTTGGCACCATGGCATTAATGTTTAGAACATAAACGTCTCCAATAATCTTGTTTCAAAACTACATCTAACGTCACTGTAAATGGTTCATCTCTGCTTCTCCTAATATCTTAATTATTTGCTTCTAATGTATAAAATAAGTATAAAACCAAACAGACTGAAAAACATACATGTTTTTATTTATATCCAAACCTGAAATGCAACTGCATTAAATTTCATTATTATTTCACACATTTCAAGATTTTTAAACCCATAAATATTAAAGAATGTGCAGAAAGATACAGAAAATTTAACTCGATAAATTTTTTGATTTGTACAAAGGGTAAAGAGATGGAATATGAACCACAAGACAAAGACAAAGATACAATGATGCTAAAGATAAAGAGAATAACCTTTGACTGACAAATGGGAAAACAAAGTCCATTTTTCTTATTGGTGCAGAATATTGTTTGCCTTCTGGCTTTTTTCCTTCCTCATCCTACATGTAATAGAACATGTTCTGCACTGGCAGCTCTGTCAACTGACGTGATGGCTTGTTGTGAGCAGGCGGTGGAGGGCCCACTGACCTTGTAGCCCTGGTTGATGCCGTTGATAAACTGAGGGTTCGGAGCGGTCCAGGTAAAACGGATAGCTGTTGAGTTGACCGCCTCGACCTGCACATTTCCTGGAGCGATGGTCGGGACTGCGATGGATGATTAAGGGAAAGGAGAGGAAATGAAAAAAAAGAAGAAAGCCAAAGGGAAAAGAGGAATAAGAGAAAAAAGAAGTGGAAGGTATTAAACAAGGGTGTTAGGTCGCCTTTCGACGGATGCCTCAAAGTCTGCATGCATCTGTTCCGCTGCCAGCATTGATCGCTGCTGTGCAGGTCAGGGCAGACGCTGCCATCAGTCTCCGTCTGACACTTACATTTAATACCACAGCTCTAAGTGAGGGTACGTTTGACTGCTTTAGCTGCTTCACACGTTTTAAAACTCTGGGACATCTGTCCCCGAGTAGCTCCCAGATAGTGGGATGACGTGCCACTGTCCCTACCCTTGGTCAACTGTTGTTCAGTTTAAAAGGAAACATTGCTTTAAAAAAACCTTTGCATTGTGGATTTTACTCTTTTTTTACATTTATTTTATGTAATTCAATTGAACATGAGTTTATTGAATTGGTTTTATGTAAAGTACTTTGTGATTTTTAAATAAACGTTATTTACTTAAAGAGAGATTTTGGGTGGAGTGATGCATCTTTGGAATGAATACACAATAGGTAGCCAGTTTCAAGCGGAAGTTCACAAACATATTTATACGGTAGCAGACATTCAAAATTAACCTGACTCCGCCAGATGGATTTGCTCCGCATATCCATCTGGAAACCTTCCGTTGAAGAAATTTTGGGAAGGGGTGAAAATACTGGTTAGCTGATTGGCCTATGTTGGTGATAGACAGGCCAAATAAACCAATCAGATCAACGAAGCATATGACGTACTAACAGAGCGACGACGAAAACACAACCACAAGCCAGGCTACTCTTGCTGAAACCACTCGGGAGAAGAGCAAAAACATCTTTTTCTCTGAGAAAAGCCTCCAGAGCAGTGTTTTGCTCTTCTTTCAGTGAAGAAATACTCTGTAATTCCGATAAAACTTGCTCGATAGCCACACTAACGCTAGTTTCATCGGCTGAAGCCGCCATTGTTCTTTAGACTGAACTGTCGCGCTTCTCGTTGCGTCACACCTCAACCCGCCTCAAAGCCAACGCTGATTGGACGTTCGTTTGGTGAACGGCTCCAAATTTTCTTTAACGGAGAGTCTCCAGACTGATCTGCGAGTGAAACCTTGAAAGCTCGCGAGATCAGGATGGTCTCACGAGGCTAATTCAAAATAGCCCTTTCCAGTCAAACGCCAGCGGAATGGCAGCCCGTTTGAGTCACCCCCTCCTTCTCCTTTCACTAAATTACAGGGTCTCACCAGGAGATGAAGCTTCTCTTTAGATCTTAATGTCTACAAATAATGACAGAACGAATATTTAAGTACAAAGATTGAAGTTTTAAAAAAGGAATCTTAGGGGACGAGGCCAAGGAACAAGGTAAGTGGGGGAATGTTGAATGGCTACCACTGTACTATCACACACAAGCTATCCAACATGGGCTCTTTGTAAAATTCCATCATAATACTTTGGGAATAATTTCAGTAATTCAGTAAAATATTACATGCAACTAATGAAAGATAGTGAATGTTGTGTTTCGGTCACTTTATAGGTAAGTGATTAGACAGGTTTGCAACTAAAATCTTTAGTTAAGCTCGTTGATGGAAACGTGAAAAAAACAAAAACAAAGCGGCAATGCATAAAATATCAATCATAATAAGTAATTTTTTTCTAAAAATAAGTGCATTTGTTCTTGAATTGAGGAGGTAAGTGAGACATTTTGCCAATGGAACAAGGCAATTCACATTTATAATAAGAAATAACAATTGCATTGTCTTATTTTAAGTGCATGTTATCTAATTATCTTATTTTAATATAAAAAAAAAATGAACTCATTCCATTAGCAAATCATCTTATCTACCTACTCAAATCAGGGAAAAAATACACTTAATTATTTTTTTACATTTTTTCTAGATCGTTTTCTGGAGCGTGGATATACGGACCTGGCACCTGCACTGCAAAAACAATCTGAAATTAAGTAAAAATTTCTTAAATCAAGTGTATTTACCCTTAATTTGAGCAGGTAAATAAGATAGTTTGCCAATGGGATGAGTATTTTTACACTTAAAATAATTTAATTAGATAATATGCACTTGACATAAGACAATGCTTTGATTTTTCTTATTTCAAATGTAAATTGCCTTGTTCCATTGGCAAAGTGTCTCATTTATCTCCTCAAATCAGGATAAAATGCACTTATTTTAAGAAAAAATGACTTATTTAGATTTACTCTGTTCAAAGTCATTTTAAGAAACTTTGTTACTTAATGGCTTACATTGTTGCTCAATTGCTCATCAGATATCCCAGCATTATGGGATTCAGCTAATAAACTTTAAGGTCACTATATTCAGGGCAAAATTTAGGTTTTGATCAGTACTGTACCTCCTTGGAGGGTCCACTCTGTAACTTTATGGCTGAAGCTGCCCAATCCCGCCCCGTTGTAGGCCGCCACCTCAATCTCATAGTTGGTCCAGATGATGAGGTCTTCCAGCAGCAGGGTGGTCACATCTGGGCTGGAGATGTTTTTCAGCTGGTAGTCCACAGGAAGCCCAGTTAGGCGGTAACTGAAACACAAATTTAGGATATTTTCTCAAAAAAAAAATAAAAATAAAAAATTGCTGGTGAAGATTCTCAGTCATCCAGGTCATAGTCATTCCAAAAAAAGTAAAAAAAAAAACAATCCACTGGTTTTTGTTTCCAAGTTCGCTTCCCATCCAGGAAGCTTTTTCAATTCAAAATGTCAGGAATAGCGTTCAGCGTTCAACGCGATTTCTGACATTTTGAATTGAAAAAGCTTCCTGGATAGGAAGCGAAACGTCTTCAAACTTGGAAACAAAAACCAGTGGATTGTTTTTAATTCTTTTTTTTGGGGGAAAAACTTGAATTTTATGCAATAGAAGAACTGAATCAAATACATTTTGAAATAATTACTCAGATAAATTATATATGAGGTTCACTTTTTGAATTAAACCCCATTTTCTATTATATTTAATTAGATTTTTAAGCTATATCTGTTTAAACTGTGATTTAAACCGTTTCCTCCACTGAGATGTTCAGCTGACAAGGACATTACAGGACATCAGGCTGGCTGCAGTACACCTGCTTCCCTTCTAGAGGGGGACAAAGCACCAGCAAAGTGGCAGATTTAATCCCACAGACAGCTTTGACTTTGTCTGGAAAACACCTGCGCTTTCATTTGGATGTAATGAATAAAAAGTCTGACAGAAACCCAGGCTAATTACATGTTTAGAGAATTTACAGTCAGTTTGGCTTATTGCATACTCTGCCTGTTAGAGTCACAGTATTTGCACAAGTCAACCCAGTAATTAAAGGCTGGCTGCGAATCAGATCAAATGTTTGTTAAATAGCTTTTCCTTATAAGAAATATGTGTTTTATGTGTAAGAAATCATTTCAGAGAGTATTTTCAAACTCTTATTGGACGGCAACATTTTTCAAACGAGTAAAAACAAAAGGGATTCAGGGGGTGAGCTTTACCGGATGATGTAGCCCCTCAGGATGCCGTTCTGGTGGCTTTCAGGCGGCGGCTGCCACTGGATCATGATTGACTGGTTGGTCCTGCCGCTGGCGATGACGTTCTGAGGGGGGGCGCTGGGGGGCTCCTCTGGGAGAGACACGCTAAACATCACGTGCACACAGAGAAAATCAGAGGGTCATCACAGAAAAAGATCCCTCATGTCATTTCAACTAATTAAAGTGAATTAATTTAGATGACTGTTGATGCTTTGCTTAAAGGGGGGTTTGCAATTACTTCCTAGTATTTGTAATTTGTCTATAAAGATTTTATAAGAAGCACACTGGGCACTAAAAGAGCCATATCTTTTCCTCCACAGAAAGTCAGCTGTGCCTGAGGGAGAAGATGGATGTAAGTTAAAGGAATGAGATAATTTGAAGCGACAAACTGGAGACATGAGAAGCTCTGTGCCGGCCCCACTGTAAAACATAGAAGGGGACGCTCCCATGGGTTCCTTACGGGTGGAGAGTTGACAGCATGATACAGGCTGACTGGCTGAGTGTGTGAAGCCAGAGAGAGGACAAACCTGATGTCGCCTCAGACCTAAATCCCTTCAGGAACCCTTTGGATGAAGGAGTGAGGCTGATTTAGAAGTGGTGACCTGCAGTGTGCCTCAGTATCAGCATCTGAGCTACAATAAGACTAAAGACTTGATGTTACATCCGCAGTGCTACACAGGATTATTGGCTCTCTTATTGT